GACATCGAGAGAAGACAATTTTTACACACACACGACATTGAGAGAAGACAATTCTCTCCCTCTCTCTTTCACACACACACACGACATTGAGAGAAGACAATTCTCTCCCTCTCTTTCTTTCTCTCTTTCACACGCGCACACACACAACATTGAGAGAAGACAATTCCCACACACACACACACACACACACACACACACACACACACACACCAACAACTCCTCCTCCTCCTACTGCTGACTCCTCTGGCCCAGCCTGGCCCCACGCGGGCTCAGGCCCACTTCTCCCTGGCTCAGTGGGCCCCTGGTTTAGTCAGCTCACATAAAGAACCTGAAGCAGTGAGTGGATCAGCACCTCCCTGCCTCACCAGCGAGTGGAGCCAGGACTCAAACCCTGGCAGCGTGGGGTGCTGTCTAGGAGTGCCTGGAGGGCTTCCTGGGGGAGGTGACTTGAGTGTGCTTTAGGGGGAGCGGAGCCTGGGATTGAACCCTAGCTGTGTGACCTTCAGGGAGTTGTTTGCCCTCCCGTGGTCTGCAACGGGGGCAGTACTGGCTACGGGTTGTTGCGAGCGAGGATCTGGCCCGGGCGTGAAGCGCTTGGTGCAGCGCAGCAGGGTGGGCGCTCTGATGGGCAGTGCGTGCTGGGAGGCGTGCAGGACGCTCCTCCTCTGCTGGAGGAGCGGGGGCTGGGTGGGAGTTGCACGCTGCCGGGCAGGGAGGCCAGGGGGAAGGACCCAGCCTTGCCTGTTCCTGTGGGTGGTGGCTGTCAGGGGACCCCCCCCAGGCCCCGGGGCCCTTGGGGGCTGACCATTTCCACGGGCTCCACCGCTCCTGGACCTGGAACCTGCCTGGTTGCAGTGGAGTTGACGATGCCTCGGGGCGCCCCCACGTGGTGTCAGAGGTGAACTGCGCTCCATCCAGTTTCGGTGGCTGGTTTTCTGCAAGTTGGTTGTCCGGCCTTTCTTTCTAGTTACCGCAGGATAGATTTGAACCGCCTACTCTGTCCACTTAGCAGCTGAGCACTTCCACCACCCTTGTTCCTCGGGGATCTGCTCATACGTGCAAATCTCCACCCACCCTCAAAGGGCCCCGAGTGCCGGCAGGGTCCAACATCTGTCCAACAGGGGGTGAAGGAAATGGCTGTGAATAGAAGCTGGGGATACTCTGCATTTAGGGGTGACAGGGGCAGTGGGCGTCCCCACCTGATGCTCCCCATGCGATCTCATCTCAGGACCTTGAAGCTGCTTTGGAGATAAGCCCCTGCCATCTGGGTGTGGGCAGGGAGCTCCAGCATGGTGAGGGGTGGGGGTATATCTGTGAAAATGGGAGTCGGGGCTTATGTGTGGCGGGGGGTGGTGGGGTGGTGAGCTCCACTGAGCAGGGACAGATAGCCACCCAGAGATCTTATCCCGTGTGAGGGTCTGGGTGTAGCCCAGCAGCCCCTGGCCCTTCTCTGGACCTCCCTCTCCCTGCCTTCTCCATGTGGGGCTACCTCCTTCCCTGGGGCCAGCCACACAGCCCTGTCTCAGGTGTTTCTAGGGGATGCAAGAGCTCCCCATCAGAGCAGGGCAGGGGGACCGAAGTAAGTTGGGGAGCCTCTGAGCAGGGGCAGGGGAGCCTGGGAATCTGCATCTCAGACGACAGCTCATGGCCTCTGCTGGGCAGCCATTGCTGATGACAGCGCCCCCTTCTCTTTGGACTAATTAGTCAGAGAGTTCATTGTGCTCCTTCTCAGGGTGGGGGTCACACGCCACCCCCAGGCCCGCCAACCTCCAGGCCGGGTCCCCCAGTCTCCATGAGGATGAATGGCCTTGACCACTGGAGAGGACCGTGGGAGCTTACCGCTCCCCCCAGGCAGCTCCTGCCAGGGCAATTAATCACCCCGTAATCACTGCCGGGAAGGAGTACTTTCACAGCTAATTAAAACCTTGCCCGCTGCAGCGAGGCCTGTTCCCTCTCATTTGTGTTCTTTGGAGATGAGCAGTGGCTGGTGGGGCGTCCTTGTACACTGTCGGGGGGCCTAGAGCCCTGTCCCCCACAGTGCCACTTCCTGTTAAGGGCCCAGGGAGTTCGGCTGTGGCCACTGCCATCTGGATCTCTCCCTGATACCGCAGTAGGGGCTCAGGCTGCCCCAGAGAACGAGGCTTGTCTCAGGTGGGAGGGACATCCTGACAGGAGGGTGGGCAGGGAGGAGGGCCAGCAGGGGCTGGGCAATCCTTAGTCACAATAGTGGGCCCAGTACTACTGCCCAGTAGCTACTGGGCAATCCTCAGTAGCTGTAGCGGGCAGGCTAGAGGGCAGGTTTTCAAAGGACTGATTCTTTGGAGGTAGACCAGCCTGGCCTTTTCTTTGAGGAGCTTTGGGGCAAATGCAACCTACCAAGTCTGAGTGCTTTCACCCTTTGGACCACTTGGGGACTCTCTCCCCTCGGGGAGATGTGTATCCTCTGGGGAGCATAGGAGAGTCCCAGCGCACCTCCTGGCTATGTGGCCCCTGGGCTGAGCCCAGGGATAGACCTGGGGGCATCCACACCCTTCACTGTGCTTTCTCTTCTCTGGCTCTGGCCTGGCCCTCCCAAGCAGAGGACCCAGACCTGTGCCCCGTCTACCCATCCTCAGCCCCAGCCCCACCCACCTGCCTGACCCTGCTGGGCTTACCTTGGGCCCCTGTCCACAGCCTGAGTCCCTACACCCACGACGAGGGTGGCCCCAGCAACAGCCAGGACCACGCGCCTCTGGCTGCCCTGCCCCTGCTGGCCATCTCCTCCCCGCAGTACCAGGACGCAGTGGTCACGGTCATTGAGCGCGCCAACCAGGTCTATGGAGAGTTCCTCAAGTCCCCGGATGGAATTGGTTTCAGTGGCCAGGTAGGACAACCTGGGCCCCTGCTGAGAGAGGGGTAGGAAGGGTTGGCAGGGTGGGGCACAGGCCACTCTAGAGCAGACTTTAACCTTCTTTTAAAGGCAAAAACCACTGCCACTGAGTTGATTCCAACTCATAGTGAGCCTGTCAGGTAGGGTATAACTGCCCCTCTGGGTTTCCAAGACTAACTTTTTAGGGGTGGGGGGGGGGGGCGGGCGTGCATGTAAGAAAGCTCCCTCTTCCTCTCGAGGAGCGGCTGATGGTTTCAAACTGCTGACCTTGAGGTTAGCAGCCCAGAGCCTTACCACAATGCCAGCAGGGCTGATGGGGAAATAGAGGCTGGCCAGGCTTAAGTCCGATCCATCACCTCCTCAGGCTGATGCGGGTCTCAGGCTGGACCCTGTCCCCCAGGCTAAGCATACCACCCCAATGTGGGCTCTCTCAGCAGCACCCTGGGCTAGGCTACCGCTACAGAGGCGGGAGCCCCCCTGCCTGGCTGAGGGTCTGAAGTGGCCGGCTTCTAGCTCAAGCTGTGCCTCCCCCTAGGTGTGTCTCATTGGGGACTGCGTGGGTGGCCTGCTGGCCTTCGATGCTATCTACTACAGTGCAGGGCCCTCAGGCGACAGCCCTGCCAGCAGCAGCCGGAAGGGGAGCATCAGCAGCACGCAGGTGAGGAGGCCAGGTGGTGGGCATGGGGCCGGCTGGCATCCTGCTGGGGAAGGGAGCAGGGGCTCTCCTGGGCTTCACCTTTGCATTTCCGCCATGTCCACACCCCCGCGTGGGGACCGAGTCACGTATAGAGGGGCATGCCTCTGAAGCGCCTTCCTGCACTGCCACCTGGATGGAAGCAGACTGCCAGGCCTTTCTTCCGCAGCACTGTTGGGGTGGGGGTGGGGGGTTCGAACTGCCAGCTCTTAGGTGAGTGGCCAATTGCAATCTGCTCACACCACCCTTGGGTGCAGAAGGCAGCCTTGGGCCTCAGACTCCACCATTATCACTCTGGGGTTCCAGGACCTTTTGGACAAGGTCCCAGGGGAAAAGGGTTCGGGGGTGGGGTGGGGGACGGGGGGGCATCTTTGTGTCTGAATGAGGGAGGAGGCAGGGCCTGGAGTCCCTCCCCCTTGCTCCCCAAGGACACCCCCATCCTGGCAGAGGAAGACTGCAGCCTGACCAGCAGCAAGCGGCTCAGTAAGAGCAACATCGACATCTCCAGTGGTCTGGAGGACCAGGCGCCCAAGAGGCCGTTGCCACGGAAACAGAGCGACTCCTCCACCTATGACTGCGAGGCACTCACCCAGCATCACGCCTTCCTGTCGAGGTAATGTCCTCCCGCCGCCCTCTGCCTGCCTTCCAGCCACGCATCCAGGGCAGAGAGGACCAGGGGCACAGGATCACTTGGGACCAGTCATCTGTCTCAGGTTCCTCAAGTTCTTCCTTCCATGGGCATCATATACAAGTGGCCAAGGCCGCCGTGGTCCCTGTACTGGCCCTTTCTACACTGAGGCTCGGGTCCCTGTTCTTGTTCATCGCCCCACTCGGGCGTGCAGGACGGGACAAGCAGAGCTCTCCCCCCTGAGCTTCAGTTTGGCCTTGTGGAAGATGGGCAAAAAAATCGCAGGTGGTTTTAAAGAATCTGATGAAAATAATCGCTGTGTGGGCATAATGGTTACGTGCTGAGCTGCTAACTACAAGGTCCGCTGTTTGAAACCACCAGCCGCTCCTTGGGAGAAAAACGGGACTTACTACTCCCTTGTGAAGAGCACCAACAGGGGCAGTTTTTCCTTGTCCCTCAGAGGCACTAGAAGTTGAAATCGACTGGTGGGGGGTGGGGGTGGGGAGTGGGGCGTTTGTGAGCTTCCCCGGGGGCATCTTCCCCTTGTTTTTCTCAGCTGAGGAAATCCAGGCCCAAGAGAGTAAAGCGCTTGCCCAGTATTACTCGCCAGCCACAGAGAATACACAGTTGCCACCGGGGCAGCGCTGCCTCCCGGCGGCCCATGTGGCACAGAGCAGAACTGCGCTCCACAGGGCTATTTTGGATGGAAGTCCATGTAACCCGGCCTCTGGGTGGACTCCAACTCCTGACGTTAGAGTCATGGCTTGCACCATCAGGGTCGGAATACTGATCTCCCGGCTCTCCCCATGGCCCTTCCTACACAACACTGTTGCCTGCTGGCCAGCAGGCTGCTCCCCTCCCCTGCACCCCCTTGAACTTCCCCAGAGAGACTCTGCGAGGGAGGGGCTGAGTGAGCCCTGAGCAAGGACCCCAATGGGAAGGCGTGCCTCCTTCCTCCTTCCCTCTCTCCTAACTCTTTATCCCCTCCCTCCCGCTCTCTTCCACTCTTACCCCAGCAATTAATAACACGAGGGCTTTGCATTAGTCAAAGGCGTCATTGTATCATCACCCAAAAGAAACCCACTGCCCCTGACAGGACAGGGCAGACCCGCCCTTGTGGGTGTCTGAGACTGGAGCTCTGTCCCGGAGTTGAAAGCCTCATCTTGCTCCCACCGAGTGGCTGGTGGTTTCGAACTGCTGTCTTTGCAGTTAGCAGCCCAGTGCTCACTCAGCTCATATGCCACCAGGGCTCCTTCTATCCCCAGAGGGACCTGCTGACTCATTCTTTGGAGTAATTCCAGTCAGTGCTTTGCCACATTCTTTCAAACAAACACAGAAACAAGTGAATAGCACTCCCAAACCCTGCTGGGGTGATCATTTCCTCGTCTAACTCAAAACTCTGATTTATTTCGTCTAAATTTTACCCATTTTATTGGGAGCTCTTACAGATAGCATAACATTCCACAGTTCAATCACATCGAGCACTACAATTGGGGTACACTTGCTACCACCATAATCAGTTTTAATATTTTTCTTTCTTCTTGAACTCTTTGATTTCAGCTCCCCTTTATCCCTTCCCCTTTATCCCATCCAACTTCCCCCCGCCCAATTCCGGGAACCCTGATTATTATTTTCTCCCTGTAATAGTTTTTTAACTAAAAATTCTTGATGAATATTCTGAAATGAAGGGCCGCGGTGGTTTCATGGTAGAATTTTCGCCTTCTACCTGGGAGTCCTGGTTCGGTTCCCGGCCAGGGCACCTCAGGTGGGGCCGCCCACCTGATTGTCAGTGGAGGTTTGCGGGTCCCTGTGCTGCTGTCCAGTTTGAGCAGAGCTTCCAGACCTAGCGGATTGGAAGAAAGGCCTGGCGGTCTGTGCTGAAAACGAACCTCTAAAAACCCCACAGAACACAGTAGTCCAGGCTGCAGCTGATTGTGCGGAGCATCCGATCAGGCAGTGTTTTGCTCTGTTGGGCGAGGGGTGGGGGTGCCACATGATTGGGGGAGCAATGTGACAGCAGCTTACAACTACCACAACCGATGTTCTATTAATTGAAGGATCAGCCGGCCATTAATTTAATCAGCCTCAGTAATGGGGCGCATGGCCTTCTGCATCCCTTCATCATTAGAAAGAGCATGCGTTCGTTGTCTGAGACCCTGTATACAACAGTATGAAACGCCGCCCGGTCCTCTCCCACCCTCACCATTGTCCTGATGTTACAGCCCACAGTTTCAGCCTCTGCGCCAATCTGCCCCGTGGAGGAGCTTCCTCCTTTTTGAGGCCCCCACCCCCACCCCTACTTTACGGAGCATGATGTCCTTCTCCAGGGACTGTCTCTCCTGACAACAGGTCCGAAGTATGAGACCGAGTCGTGCCCAGCCTCCTTTTGAAGGAGCACGCCGCCTGTGCTTCTTCCAAGACGGGTCTGTTGGTCCTTTGGGTGGCCCGTGGCACCTACAGTGTCCTCCACCAGCACCAGGATCCACAGGTGTCAATGCCACCGTCTCCCGTAGTCCCTGCCCTACTTTCACATGCAGATGAGGCGGTGGGAAATAACCAACTCTGGTCTGTATGAAGCTTCTTTCATGGAAGCGGATTCCTGCAGGAGGGATTACTGGGTCCCCTGTGCTGCGTATTTGAATCTCTGACTGTTGTGTGAGCCGTCTAGGAAAGCCATCTAGGAAAGCCGCTGCATTCAAGTCAGGAAGCCACTTCTCCTTCCTGCTCAAAGGATCCTGGGGGAAAGGCCCAAAGGCTCTGCAAGCTGGGCGCTCTTGGTCGCTGGTCCAGCACAGCCAGCTTCCCCTCCGGCGTCCGGACAGATGGAGGCTGCTTTGGCAATTATGTAGCTGGCTTGTGTTTAAGGGGCCACACTGTACGAGACATCCGCATCATCCAACAGCAGGGTCCCCTCCTGGCTGCTCCAAGCATGAGCGCAAGAGGGGGTCAGGTGATGGGGGTCCCACTTTCCAGCCTCTCGGATGCTCAGTGTCAGAACCAGCCCACTCCCTTGAGTGGCTATTTGCGAAATTCTCTTGAACCTCAAAACGCCAGCCTCTCAGCCAACTTAGGAGTTCTGTTCTTTGGTGGCTCAGCGGTAGGCTTCTCGCCTTCCACGTGGGAGTCTGGGGTTCGATTCCCAGCAGGTGCACCCTAACTAAGCCTGCCGATGGAGGCCTTCATGTGCTGCTGCTGCTGAACAGGTCTCAGCAGAGCTTCTAGACTAAGGTGGACGAGGAAGAAAGGCCTGGCAATCTACTGCTCAAACTCAGCTGTGGAAAACCCCAGGATCCCAGTGGGCACCTGGTGGCGGGGATGACGCAGGAGCGGAGAGTGTTTTGTCCTGTCGTGCATGTGAGCACCCGGGTGGGGGCTGACGCTGTAGCAAGCTGACAACAACCACGGCAAATATTCATAGAGGATGTGGCTCGCAGGCAGGTTTAGGAGGGGCCTGGTACTCTGCAGGTGGCGCTGAGAACCAGCGCGGATTCTTTTGGGGGGCAGTGGGCCCTGCGGATGGGAATGATTGGATCTCCATGGGCACCTTGATTTGCCTCTTCCACTCTTGCTCCTCTGCAGGCTGGAGTGGAGGGGGGACCAAGATGTTGGCACCTGTGCAGGCAGGTTGAGGGAGGAAGCTTTCATCGAAGGCCCTCATGCTGCTAGCCGAACTGATATTTCCAGATGGGCTGCTCGCTAGCCGTGCTGGGCTTCTCTGAGGCTTCACTGCGTAGGAATTGGAAGTGTGACCAGGAGACAGCCCGTGTGTTGGGGTCAGAAGCTTAAGTACAGAGGTGGTCCCGACCCCCAAGTGTGTGTCCACCTGCCAGAGGGCTAAGTCCTGTCTGTAGCCTGTGTTTAGAAATATAGTCTAATCGGGATACCCAACCAAACCCACTGCCTTTGAGTCAGATCCGGCACCTAGCAACCCTCCCTAGAGTTTCTGAGATGGCGAATCTCTATGGAAGTAGATAGCCTCCTTCTTCTCCCTAGGAGCTGCTGGTGGGTTTGAACCGCCAACCTTTGGTTAGCAGCCCAATGCCTAAGTACCAACAGAGAGATCTAATGATCTGTGTCCATCAGAGATTCAAAAGCCCCACCTGAACTTGAGTCGGTTCCGACTCACAGCAACCTTACAGGACAGGGTAGGACTGTCCCCGTGGGTTTCTGTGACCATAACTGATTACAGGAGTAGAAAGCCTCGACTTTCTCCCTCAGGGTGGCTGGGGGCTTCGAACTGTTCACTCTGTAGTTAACAGCCCAATGCATAACCTGTTATGCAACCAGGGCTTCCATGGTAATCACAGCTCAAAAAACCCTATGCAGCACATCTGCTCCTATCTCTTGGGATGGCTATGAGTTGAAATCAGCCCAGGGGCCCCTGAAGGCAATACCAAGGTTGCCATCAGAGGACTTGCATGGCACAAATGGGGAAGAAGCACTTGACACCTGACAGCAAGGCAGATGGCCTTAACTCAGAGGCTGGTTGGCTCAGCGGCACAGAGGGGCGCCAGGAGTTGGGAGAGGCTCACCCGTTTGGTTTTTGGGTGGATGGCTGTTTTCACACTGCGAGGGCAGAGTCCAGAGGGTGAATTACATGACGCTCGCCCCTTTGTGGAAACAGCTGGTGTACCCTGCCATGTGCAGGTTTGGCCAGAGCTTCCTGGCCAATGCACAGGTGGTCACTAGCACTGCTGAGGGCATCTGGCACGCGGGCTCGGGTTCCCAGCCCGTTCCCAGAGACAGAGGTTTGGGGATGAGCACCCCAAAGTCCAACCCAGCGAGCACCCTGCTCCCCTCCTCCCTCTGCAGCATCCACGCCAGCGTGCTGAAGGACGAGTCTCAGCTCCCCGGCTCTGGGGTCCAGCTCCCTGAAGTCAGCCTGGGCCGCTTTGACTTCGATGTGTCCGACTTCTTCCTCTTTGGCTCACCCCTGGGCCTGGTCCTGGCCATGCGGAGGACAGTGCTGCCTGGGCTGGATGGTGGGTGTGCCTTGAGGTGCCCGGGGTCACTAGGCCAACAGTTCAGGGCCCCCAAACTGGGGGAGTGGGAGGCGAAGTGGTGGCACACTCTGGTGGGGAGTCAAGGAATTGGGATACATGGAGAGACGGGAGAAGAGGAGACGAGTCGGGGTGCAGGGAGAGAGAGGGAGGGAGAGGAGGGACAAGGGGCAGTTCTCCTTGGTGTCACAGAGGTGAGGTGGGAGGGACTTCATGCCTGTCCTAGGCCCTGGGCCCGAATGGCTGTGATCATGCTGGTGGCAGGGAGCCATGGGAAGTTCTTGAGCAGAGGAGTGGACTGTTCATTGCTGGCGTTCCTGGACACCTGCTAGGGCCCCCAAGGAGCAGGCCCTCTGCATCCTCTCCACAGGTTTCCAGGTGCGCCCCGCCTGCAGCCAGGTCTACAGCTTCTTCCACTGCGCAGACCCCTCTGCCTCGCGTCTGGAGCCGCTCCTAGAACCCACGTTCCACCTGGTGCCACCTGTCAGCGTGCCCCGCTACCAGAGGTTCCCGTTGGGGGACGGGCAGACCCTCCTCCTCGGTAGGCCTGCTGGGGTACCGGGCGAGTGTGCTGGGCAGAAGACTGGGCTCCCAGCCAGGCGGGACTGAGGGGCCACCCTTAAGCCCCCAGGGTGGCTAGGCTCATTTGAGCAGGTTCTGTGTGGTCCTGAAGGGCGGGGGCTCACCTGTGCTGAGCCCTGTGTTGGCCCCTGGGGGCTGTGTTCTGCCCACGTGTCAAGGCAGCATGCTGCACAAACTGTCGGCCCCATGGGGAATCCAGAGGTGCGTGCTGATCCTACCCCGGTGTCCAGACTGGGTGGTCGTGGTTCAGGGCAGGGAATGGTGGCCTGGACAGGGGAGAAGCACTTGGACAAGTGCAGAGCGCTGGATGTTCGGGGAGGGAACAGCGGCAGCGAGGGCCGGTGAGCTTAGGAAGGGCCAACAGGTGCAGTGGGCTGAGCCAGGCATAGACTGGGCAGCCGGCAACCTGGAAACCAGTCCCTGTGTCACAAGCCCAGGTGGGGAGGTTCCCCCTGAGCCCACACAGAGGTCTGGGTCAGGTGGGCAGTCCAGTTCGGGGTTAAACACCCCAGCCATTGCAGAGAAACGTTGTTTAGATAGGCTTGCTTTGTCAGCCGCCTCAGTGAGCTAGACAAGGCTCAAACATGTCCGTGTCCCACCCTAACATGTGCCCCTTGAACAAGGGGCTTGTCCTCCTCCCAGGAAGCCCTCGTCCCAGGGAGCCTCCACCCCCCACCCCCAGCTCTCCCTATTCAGCCCAGGCTTGGTCGGCAGTCCTTTGTGGCTTTGGGAGAAGCGTGATGGAAGAGGCCCCACCCCTGGGGTCCCAGCCAGATGCTGTTGGGCTCCAGCTCCCAGGGGCGCCTCAGTTGAGGGGTGGGGACAATGGTGGGGACCCCAGCTCGGGCTAGCAGAACACAGTGTAGGAGAGGTGAGACTCAGCAGGTCCCTTTGGGCCACAGAGGCGGGGGTGGGGTGGGTGTGGGTGGGGGAGGCGGGGCGGGCCCCCTGGTGGCTGTGGTGAGCAAGCAGGACCAGCCTGGCTCCCCTGAGTGGCCAGCATTCTGCCTGCCCAGGAAGCCCTGGGCCCTGACCTTGAAATTCCCCTTGCAGCTGATGCCCTGCACACCCACAGCTCCCTCTTTCTGGAGGGCAGCTCCCAGGACAGCCCACCCCTTCCGGACGCCCCCGCCTCACCCCACCAGGCCCCGCGGTCCCTGCAGCTGGGGCGCAGGCTGAGTGAGGGCAGTTCCCGCAGCAGCGAGAGCTCGGGGTCCTCGGACAGCCTGGCAGCCATGGGCGCCTCCCGCAGTGAGTGAGGCTCCTGGGGGCCCTTGTGGGGAGGGGTGCTGCTGAGGGAGACCTGTGGGTCGGGGGTGGTGGGGGTGGCCTGGAGGACATCGGGGCAGCATTCCTGGCTTCCAGCAGAATCCTCACTCTGGCCCCAGGCTGACCTCTGACCTTAGAGAGAACCCTGGCCTCTGACCCCAACTGAGCTCTGATTTCAGAGTCCTAGGCAGAGCCCTGAGCTTTGACCCTAGTCCCAGAGCAAGCTTTGACCCCAAACAGATCCCTGGCATCCGACTCAGATTTAGACTGAGCCCTGGGCTCGGACTGAACATTCAGCATCTCCTGGCTGGGGGGATCGCTGTTCCCATGGGTCCCACCCTCGCCCCAGAAGACCTCAGCTTGGAGTGCCCACCTTAGCTGGGTGGGGGGAGGGCACACTAGTGGGTGGTGAGACCCTGGAACCTATGCCCTGAGTGGCATGTCCCTCACGGTGTCCTGAGCTTCCACACTGCCTGTCGAGCCCAGGGTCTGGTCCGGTCGCTGTCTTCACCTCCCTCTCAAACCCACAGTCACAGCCAAATGGTGGGGCACCAAGCGGATCGACTATGTCCTGTACTGTCCCGATGTCCTCACTGCCTTCCCCACGGTAGCCCTGCCCCACCTCTTCCACGCCAGCTACTGGGAGTCCACAGACTTGGTGGCCTTCATCCTGAGACAGGTACAGACACCCACCCCGGGATTCCATGTCCAGAGCAGGGGTAGATCCGGCGCCCTCGGGGAGCTATGGAGAGAAAGGCAGTGGGGTCCCCGGCCAGGCGGGCAGTGACGCAAAGGCTGCGTGCTTTATAAGAACACCACGGACTGCGGGTGGCCAATGGCGTGTTCCCTCCAGAACATGCAATAGAAAGTACGTTGGAGGCCGGACCCACGCTGCAACCCAGCCCTGTGCTCCCTCGGTCTCCTCGGCTCAGCGGTAGCATCAACAGAAAGACCCATGCTAACGGGGTGGGGGTGGTGGGGAGGTCAGGGTGGGAAGGGAGCTAGATGGGGGACTACCTCCAGGGCAAGGGGATGGGGTAGGGGCTCAGCTGATTGGTTTGCTGTTGTCTGTTCTGACTCATGGCGCCCCCAGGTGTTACGGAGTGGAACTGCCGCCCAGTAGTAGATCACCAGGCCTTGCCTTGCGTGGTGGTGCTGCCATGTGGGGTTTGGGTCACCAGCTGAGCTCAGACCCTTTGTGCTATTCTGGGAGCTTACTACAGGCCTAGGAGAGTTGTTCGTGTTTTTTTCTTTTTTTTTTTAAGATGTGCGACATCACACCATAGTTGGATGCCACAGGGAAGGGTCCAGCAGGGACTAGGGGGTGATGCTCTAGATTGGGGGAGAAGAGCAATGTCTTGAGCAGGCCAGAAAACTGGCTCTGAGTCTCCTCCAGACCTCTGAGTCTCCCCCTGGGCTCCAAGTTTCCCCATGGGCCCTGGGTCTCCTCCCTGGGCTCTGAGTCTCCTCCAGACCTCTGAGTCTCCCCCTGGGCTCTGAGTCTCCCCCTGGGCTCCAAGTTTCCCCATGGGCCCTGGGTCTCCTCCCTGGGCTCTGAGTCTCCCCCTGGGGTCTGAGTCTCCCCCCTGGGCTCTGAGTCTTCCCCTGGGTTCTGAGTCTCCCCTCTGGGCTCCAAATCTCCCCCTGGGCTCTCAGTCTACCCCTGGGGTCCCAGTCTCCCCTTGGGTTCTGAGTCTCCTCCTGAGCTCCGAATCTCCCCCTGAGCTCTGAGTCTCCCCCTGGGCTCCACGTCTCCCACCTGGACTCCAAATCTACCCCTCCCCCTGAGCTTTGGGTCTCCCCCTGGGCTCCAGGTCTTCCCGACCCCTCTCCTCTGGGTCCAGCTCCCCTACTGGGCTCTGAGTCTTCCCCCTGGGCTCCAAGTCTACACCCCCCACCCCTGGGTTCTGGGTCTCCCCCCTGGGCTCTGAGTCCTCCCCTGGGCTTCAAGTCTAACCCCCTGGGCTGTGGGTCTCCCTCTGGGCTCCAAGTCTCCCCCATACCCAACTTTGTGTCTCCTCCTGGGCTCTGGGTTCCCCTCTAGGTTCTGGCTCTCCCCCTGGACTCCAGGTCTCCCCTCCACTCCTGGTCCAGCTCTCCTCCTGGACTCTGGGTCTCCCCTTGGGCTCTGAGTTTCCCCCTGAGTTCTGGGTCCCACCCACCCCCTCCTCAGGCTCCCACAGGAACCACCAGGTGGGTCAGTCCCCGGCACAGCAGAGAGAAAGAGATGGGGCACTGGTAGGAAGGTGCCTGGCTTGGGCGTGGAACACAGAGGTGTGCCCAAGACACAGTGTGGGTCTGAGCAGGACTGTTTGGGGTCCAGGGCTCTGGAGCCCCAGACTGGAGTAAGAGAGGCCCGGGGGAGGTCATAAGCTGACCATCCCTAGTCACCTGAGAGGGCTGACCAACTCCTGTGGGTCCCTCTCCAGGTGATGCGCTATGAGAGCGTGAGTGTCCAGGAGAGCTCGGGCCTGGACCCTGCAGCCCTGAGCCCTGCCAGCCCCCGGGAGAAGTGGCTTCGCAAGAGAACCCAGGTCAAACTGCGGGTATGTGTGGCTGGTGGGGTGGGGGGGCGGCGCTGTGGTGGTGGTGGAGTGGTAGGGCTGCAGAGAGTCAGGGGAGGCTCGGGGAATAGGGGTTGAAGTGGGAAGGGCGCATTGGCCCCTGCCGAGCCAGAAAGAAGCACCAGCAGTGGTGAGTGGCGGGCAGGCAGCAAGGCTGAAGGGGGAACTCGGACCAGATTTTGACCCCCGAGCTCAGGATTCGGACCTGCTCCGGAGAGTTTCAGTAGAGCTGTGCTTTATGGAGATGGAGGGACTGTCACGGGGTCTGGTGTTTTGTTTTATTTTGGGTGAAATCCACAAGCGTCGTCACCTATTGACGACAGGACTCTGTCCCAATGACCCAGCTATAAGTTGGGCTTGATGTAAGTTACTCTCTTACCCTTAGTCATCATGATCATTGCTTTTCATGATCAGTCTCTTTAGAAATCTGATCTTGAGTTCTCTTTGGAGTTGGAAACATTACAAATAAACTTACCGCAGCCCAAGCCAACGGCTATCTAGTCAGCCCCATAGCAACTCTGCTGGACAGGGTAGAACTGCTTCCAAGGGGTTTCAAGACTGTAAAGCAGCGGTTCTCAATCGGTGGGTCGCGACCCCTTTAGGGGTAGAATGACCCTTTCGGTGGGTCGCGACCCCTTTAGGGGTAGAATGACCCTTTCGGTGGGTCGCGACCCCTTTAGGGGTAGAATGACCCTTTCACAGGGGTCTCCCGATTCATAACAGTAGCAAAATTATAGTTATGAAGTAGCAACAAAAATAATGTTAGGGTTGGGGGAGGGGGGCCACCCCCACACGAGGAACTGTATGAAAGGTCACGGCATAGTGGTTGAGAACCACTGTAAAACTTTCCAGGTGCAGACAGCCTTGTCTTCCTCCCTTGCATAGAGCACCTGGTGGGTTGAACACGCCCACTGGGCTAACAGCCTAGTCCTTAACCAACGCTGCCTCCAGGGCTCCTGAGATGACCTCATAGATGTATTGTGGTAGGTTGGTGTTAGGCGCTGTGCATGCAGTCTGTGCTCACTCATAGCCATCCCTGCACCACAGAAGCCAGCCCTGCCCAGTCCTGGGCCAGCGTCACGGTGGCTCTTCTGTCGAGCCCATTGGTTCAGTCCCTGTGTCCTTCCATCGCAGGGCAGGTCTTCCTCTGTTCGCTACCCGTTTATTTTATCAAGCATGACGGCCTTCTCTAGGGACTGGTCTCTCCTGACCACAGGTCCAAAGGGAGTCTTGCCATCTCTGCTTTACTGTAATGTCGACGTTAAAACAATATACATCATTTAAAAAAAGATGGTTCATCTTAAGTCAACTATGAGAAGACTTCAAAGAGTATGTGGGAAAATTCCATGGTCAGTTATTTCCACTCTCCTACAAGCTTTGAGAAGCCCCCTCAGATGTCCAAATATTTCAAGATTACAATACTGAAAGTACCCTGGGCTGCCAAAATAACACAAACAGTTCTGTGTTGGAGGAGGAACGGCTGGAATGCTCCTGAGAGGCCAGGCTGGCGAGATTTTGTCTCATGTACTGTGGACATGTTGTCAGGGAAAACCAGTCCTGGGGAAGGACATCGGGCTCAGTAGAGTCGTGGGGCCGAGCAAAAGAGGAAGCCCCTCAATGAGGTGGGTTGACCAGTGGCTGCAACGATGGGCTCAAACAGAAGAACAGTTGTGAGGATGATGCCGGAGGTGGTGGTGTCCTAGCCTGCCTACATAGGATCGCTGCTATGAGTCGGACCGACCCGACGGCATCTAACAACACATGTCCTCAGTCAGGGGCTGCCTGTACCTAACAAAACCGTTGCCATTTGAACCACTGCCATGTGCACAATCCAGTCAATTCAATGACATTGATTTCATCTGCCATGGGTGCAACCATCCCCACTTACTCACTGCTATTGAGTTGATGCCGTCTCATAGTGGCATCACTAGAACACACTAGAACTGCCCTAGTGGGTTTCCGAGGCTCTAACTCTTTAGAAGAATGGAAGGCTTCGCCTTTCTTCTGTGGAGCAACTGGTGGTTTCGAACTGCTGACCTCATGGTTGGCACCCCAACATGTAACCCACTATGCCACCAGGGCCCCTGTGTTAGTCTGGGTGGACCAGAAAAACAAATTCATAGACACTCATATGAGTATAAGAAAGAGCTTTATATAAAAGAACAATTGTATATTAAGAAAACATCCAGACTAGTCCAGATCAAGTCCATACGTCTGATATTAGCCCATATGTCCAATACCAGTCTATAAATTCCTCTTCAGACTCATGCAACCCATGCAGTGACACTGAATGCAGGAAGATCGCAGGCCACTGGGTGGAAAGTCTTGTGGATCCAGTGGCGGTGGAAGCATCTCAGCACTAGCATGAGTCTCCAGTGTTCCTCCAGTTCCAGGGCTCTTGCTCCATGTGACTTGTCAACAGGAATGTCTCACAGAGAGAGTGTTTCCCACCTCCAGGGAGGAAGACAGCAGTTCCCAGAATCCTCAGGAGAAGGCCACACCCACACTGGAGGACTCTTTGGCTATGATATGATTGGCAGGCTAGACTCCACCCCTTCTCTCAAACTGACATTATGTAACTTCCACAACCACCTCTTCTCCACTATTCATGTCCAAATCCAGGGCTGCTTTCGAGCAAGGGGCTCGGTCAGGAAGAGATTGGCAGAGTTGGGTTGAGAGATCACAGGGCGAGGCGAGTCTGGCCGGGTCCCAATGTGAAGGGCACTGTAAGGATTAAGTGACTTGGGTCTGGAAGGCTGGGCAGGGTGTGGTGGGCAGCCGAGGCCATCAGGGGCCTTGGAGCTGTGGAATGAATCGAGACAAGGCGGCGAAGACGTTCAGGGCTATGGAGAATGGTACAGATTAAATGCTCTCTCCAAAGTCTCCCGCAATGGCTATGTACTGATAAGGGCTGAAGGGACCCATGGGTCCCTCGGCCTCCTGATCCCCTCCTCTCTAGTTCACACCTGAGACACTTCCCACTGCATCAGGATGGCATATCACGGAGGCTGGGGGTGAGCTGTGGTGTGGATGTTCTGAGCAGACGCAGTAGTCCCCAGTCTAGGACTGGGGCGATGATAGGTTGGGAGGGCTGGTTGTGACCTCAGGGGCCATGGGAAAGAAGCAGAAGCAGAGAAGGGGCACTTACAGAAGCCCCCATGCTCCTTGAAGACAACATGAGGGGTCCCACGCTCTGTTCCTCTCATGAACTCTAACGGGAGCTAATAGGAAGCATGCCCCAGCCGGTGCACGTGCCTCTGGCAGGTCCGGAGGACAATCCAGCATAGAGAGCATGCCTGAGGCCCCAGCTGAGCCAGGTCTGACTCCCCTCCAGAACGTCACCGCTAACCACCGTGCCAATGATGTCATCGCCGCTGAAGACGGCCCCCAGGTCCTGGTGGGGCGCTTCATGTACGGACCCCTCGACATGGTCGCTCTGACTGGAGAGAAGGTACTCTGGGCTAGGGTCTCCATCCCCAGTGGGCCCCACCTGACACCCAGATGGATAGGTGGCTGCAGGAGGGTTGGGTGGGGGTGCACAGAGCTGGGGGCCACCTTCTGCCTGGGCAGGTCACCGAGTAAGGCTGGCTGGAGCTCCGTCCCAGTGTTGGGGGTGGAGCACAAACCATTAAGTCTCAGGCTTGAAGTTGGGTTCCCCCGGAGGCACTTGGCAGAGAGGCCTGGTGATCTCTTTCTGAGAATCCAGCCCGGGAAAGCCCTACGGAGCACAGTTCTACTCCGGCGTGCATGGGGCCACCGTGAGCTGGCATCCACTCCATGGCGCCTGGTGACCTGGGGGCTGGCACAGTGCTCAGGAGAGAGAGGGTCAGGGTGGCAGGAAGAGGTGGGGGGAGGCTTCCCAGTGCTTCTCCCTTACAGGAGACAGGAGACCAGTGCAGGGTCTCTAATAGGGGGGCTTGAGGGATGGGGAGGGTGAAGAGGGTGAAAGGCAAGGGTAAGTAAAGGGTCAAGTTAGGGTTCTCCTTGGGCAGAAGCCTGACCCCAGATCAGAGGTCAACCCTACAAGGATCCCATGGCAGCCTGCAGCCCCCTGCCACAGGCCCTGCGCTAGTCTTCAGCCCCAGGCTTCAGAGAGCCCCCTGCCCTTCCACGGCCTGCAGGTGGACATCCTAGTGATGGCCGAGCCGTCGTCGGGCCGCTGGGTGCACCTGGATACGGAGATCACCAACAGCAGTGGCCGCATCACGTACAGCATACCCCGACCCCGGCGCCTGGGGGTCGGGGTCTACCCAGTGAAGATGGTGGTCAGGTGAGCCCTGGGAGGTGGTCTCGTGGTGGTGTGGTGGGCTCTCCTGCCAGGCAGGCCTGCACAGACCCTGTCTGCATGGAGTGAGGAAGGCAGAGGAGCCCCCCCGTGGCACCAGGAGATGCTACCCCGATTCTCTGGGCTCCTGGCCCAAGCCAGAGCTCAGACTCTCCCTGCACCGACCTCGAGGCTCAGGCTCACCCGTGGCCCTGACTGCACGCTGACCACAGGCAGGCACCTTTCAGGGGCGACCAGACCTGTGCGATGAGCTACCTCACGGTGCTGCCCCGAGGCATGGAGTGCGTGGTGTTCAGCATCGATGGGTCCTTCGCGGCCAGCGTGTCCATCATGGGAAGTGACCCGAAGGTTCGGCCGGGTGCGGTGGACGTTGTCCGGTATGTGTGTATTTCCCCTGGTGGGAGGCAGCGAGGAGGACGGGCTGGGAAGGTTCTTTTGGCTCCCTCTAGGGGGCCCCTGGAGGCACAGAGGTTCCGAGTTGGGCAGCTAATTTAGTTTGAAACCCCAACCACTCCAAGGGGGGAAGTCAGAGCGCTCGACTCCGCTAAAGAGTGACAGTCTCAGAAACTCACAGGGTCAGCCCTACCCTGTCCTCCAGGGCTGCCGTGAGGTTTTTGGGTTTTTTTTTTTTAGGTTTCCTCTAGAAGCCCACTAGGAATTCTTTTGAACTTCCTGGCTGGGAGCTGGGACATACTGGTTCCATTTCCAGTGGTAATTTACTGAGGGTCATCGGGAAGACACCCCCCCCCTTTTCTGGACTACATGTCCTTCATTTGCCCATCCATCCATCCATCCATCCATCCATCCATCCATCCATCCACCCACCCTAATCCTGTCTGAGCATCCCCTCTGTGTGGCCCCAATCAGGATAGAATCAATGTGTGCTGGCTTTCTTTTGCTGTCGGACAAGCCGTTCCAAAACATAGTGGTTGAAGATAATACTTGGTTATTCTGTCTTGTGGTTCTGTGGATTGGTTAGGTTCTGCTGGGAGGGTCTCCCTTGGGTGTGTGTGTGTGGGAGGGGGGTGTCTGTCTTCATTATCTAACACGATTACAGAAATACTACGGATAAGTGGTTATAAAAACAGAAATGTACTTGTCCTCAGACCGGGAACTAGAATTCCCCAATCAGGCTGCTGGCTCTAAGGGAAGCCTCCTCTCTCTGCTGGCTCCAGATGAAGATCCTTGTTCCTCCTGAGCTTCTGTCCCAGGGCCATCTTCATGTGGCTTGGCACCTGTCTGTCCCCATCTCTGCGTGCTCGCTTGCTTGTTTAATCTCTCTTTTGTCTCAAAAGAGATTGACACAAGATCTAATTGACAGGAATCTTGCCTCAGTACCATAGCAAAGGCCGTTCACTCGCCAATAGGATTGGAACCACAGGTAGAGTCGAAGCTTTACAGCACATACTGTGGGGGGAGACAATTCCGTGCAGTCCAAGCAAGGGCCTCGGAAGGCTCCACCAGCCCTTCCCAGCCTGCACCCTTCTTCTTGGCCTGTCACAGTTAAATTCTCTTTGTCTTCTTTTTGCCTTTCTCTATCTGGTAATCTTTACGTGTATTGTTTTTGTAAAAGGAAATGTGTGTATGTATATATATATGTGTATGTGTGTATGTATATATGTATGTGTGTATGTATATATATACATGTGTGTATATCCTCTCATTAAAAAATCATTTCCATCCTTCAGGGGTGATTCAAGTCCCACCTCTCCCTGGACGCCCACCCTGCTCTCTAACCAGCATTAGCAGCTCTCTGCTCGGGCTCCTGACCCTCCATGCGCCCTGTGTGTTAGCCAGCCTCCCATAGGGTCCCACCAACGCCCCGTGTTGAGTTGGCTCCTCATCCTTTCCACTGGTGACCGGTAGATGCCTGGGAAGGACCCAGGCTGGGTCCTAAGAAGCCGAGAGCTTCCTGCTGGCAGGGGTTCATGGGGAAGGGACCCGGAACAGAGAGCTGGAGTGGGGAGGGTGTTTGTGGTGGGTTTGCGGGCAGGCTGAACCAGGGGTGTGGATGTGAGGGTCCCCCTTGCCATCCGCAGCGCTCCCAGGAACAGCCTTTTATGAGGTGAGGCAGGTGTGGGGCCTCGTGGCTGGCAGGGGCCAAGTTGAGCCCACAATGCTGTTGTCTCAGCCACTGGCAGGACCTGGGCTACATGATCCTGTACATCACCGGGCGGCCGGACATGCAGAAGCAGCGCGTGGTCTCTTGGCTGTCGCAGCACAACTTCCCCCAGGGCATGATCTTCTTCTCCGATGGACTGGTGCACGACCCGCTGCGGCAGAAGGCCATCTTCCTCCGCAACCTTGTGCGCGAGGTGAGGGCGGGGCAGGGCGAGGCCTGGCAGGGCCTTGGCCACACCCCACAAGGCGGGGCCTCCTCCGCAGCCACTAGGAAAAAGGATCCCACCCCGAGAGCCTAAGGCCTTTCCTGCTCTCTCTCCCTTCCAGCTCAGCCCTTGCGGGCTTTCATACGTTTCTCCTGTAACCACAGGTTGCACAGGGTTCTCATGCTGTTCTTTGAACAGCCCTGGGTGGCATCCCTGGATGCCCATGGTTAACTTTCTGAACTGCTCACCACAAGGCTTACGGTGTTCTAGTCCACCCCGAGGTGCTTTGCAAGAAAGGCCTGGCGATCTGCATCTGAGAAAACCCTACAGAGCACAGCCTATGCCTGACACACACAGATTGCTATGGTTAGGTGGTGGTCAGGTAGGTGTTTTTGTCCCTCCTGACAGGGGATCCTCTTGAAGTGCAATACAGTATCCCCAAAGCTCAGCATAGACATGCCACCTTTTCCTCGGACTCTAAGGCCTAACCGGAACTGTCTACATCTGGTTACTTCTTCAGCAAACATTTGCATGTACCTACAGAGTAGTTCTGTGCCTAAGGAGTCTTGGTGGCCCAGTTGGTTCAGCACTGGGCTGGTAACCTCATAGTTGGCCGTTCTAATCCACCAGCCCCTCTGAGGGATAAAGATGAGGCTGCCTGCTTCGTGGAGGTTTATAGCGTGGAAACCCTAGAGACCATGTCGACGGTACCCTGTGGGGTGGCTCTGAATCGGAAGTGACACGGTGGCAGTGGGTTTGGCTCTGTTGGGTTGTGTGCCTGGAGGGCAGTGCTGGTTCCCCAGCTTCCATGCAGGAGACCCAGGTTCGACTCCTGCCCAGTACGCTTCCTGTACTGTCCCCACCCCTCTGTCAGGGGAGGCTTGCGGAAGCGCTGTATTGCCAAACCTGTTTCAATGGAACATCAGACTCAGACGGACTGGCAATAGAACCCCCAGGCTCAGGAAGAAAGGCCTAGTGATCCACTTCCAGGAACCAGCCAATGAGAACCCTGTGGGCCACCACGGCCGAGCCACAGCTTATGGAGGGCGAGGCTCAGTCCCTCAGCATTTCCTGAGATGGCCTCTGGTTTGCCGGCAGCTAACGACCAAAGGAGCCCTGGGGCCATACTGGGTTACCAGTTGGGTTGCTAACCATGAAGCCAGCAGTTAGAACCCACCAGCCACTCCGAGGGAGACTGCTGAAGCTTTCTGCTCCCGCAAAAGGATTGAGAGCCTCAGAAACCCACAGGGGCAGTTCTCTGTCCATAGTGTTGCTAAGAATCAGAGTGGCCTCGATGACATTGAGATTGATTTAAAAACAAAACAAACCTCCCCCAACCTGTGTTTCCACCCTGTGTGTGTGGCTAGACCCAGGCTACAGGGCATGCTCTCTAGAGCTGATTGCTTCAGACGGCATCTCCTAGGACCTAGGTGGTCCTTCGCCCAGCAGCATCGGCATCACCTGGGATGATGGAATGCAACGTCTCTGGTCCCAGCCCCAGCTTCTCAAGTTCACTGCCACTGAGCCAATTCAGACTCACAATGGCCCTGGAGGGCAGGGTGGGACTGCCCCTGTGGGCCTCCGAGACTATCTGACTCTGAGGGTTATACTGCTTTCTGGGAGTAGAAAGCTTCGTCTTTCTCCCTTGGAGTGGCTGGTGGTTTTGAAATGCTGACTTTGTGGTTAGCAGCCCAATGTGTAAGCACTAGGCCACCAGGGCTCAACTTACTCACTCCGGAACTCTGGGCAGGAGGTCCAGCAAGTTGTTTTAATGAGTCTTCCAGGGGACCCAGATGTGCACAGAATTTGGGGGCGCCACTGGACTAGAGCAGAGCTTGACACACCATCTTGTCTGTGAGGCACAGCCAACCCCACACCTGTTTTCCTGCGGCCTGCCAGCTAAGGCTGCCTTTTATGCTTTTAAAAGGCAATGGGGTGGGGGGTGGGGAGTGTCAAAAGAATGATGGCATTTCATGACATGTGACAATGACTTGAAATCCAAATGGCAGTGTCCGTAAATAACGCTTCCTTGGAGCAAAGCCAGGCTTCTTTGCGCCTCATCTGCTGCAGCGAAGTGCCGAGAAGCTGCAGGGAGCTCGGGCCTAGGATGTTTGCCCTCTGGCCGTTTCCTGCACAGGAAGTTTGCCAGCCCTTCCCCTTGAGGAAAAAGACCATGCCAACTAGCACGTTGCTCGTGTGCCCGTGTACTACCCGTCAAACACACCCTGCCGGCGAACGGCGGAGAAAGCACTTAGCTTTGCCTTGGTGGTCTAGTGGGTTACATGCTGGGCTGCTAACTGCAAAGTTAGCAGTTTGAAACCACCAGCCGCCTCGTAGAGCTTTACCATCTTGGAAACCCATAGGGGCTGCTCTGCTCTGTCCTGTATCTAGCGTGGCCGTGAGTCGGAATCAACTTGATGGCAGCGAGTGAGGGAGGAAGGTCAGGGACAGCTTCTCAAGAGCAAACCAGACTCACTGCCATCGGTCAGTGGGTGCTGACTCCTAGAGACAGCCCGCCCCCACCCTTGGATTTCCAAGGCTGTAACGGTTTCAAAGGACTCTTCCTGGCAACGATAGTTGAAGCTCGATGGCGCCCCTTAAGGTTGGTAGTTTGAATGCACCCATCAGCGTCATGGAAGTAACATCGTTCAGCCAAGAAAGCCTATGGGGCTGGTCTACCCTGTAAGACTGTGGGTCAGAATCTACTTAACTAACAATGACAAGCAGGCTGGAGGAAGGTGAAATTCTGCTGTTGGCCAGTGCAGGCTGCTCTGGCCATGGGCCATGAGCCACACCAGGCTTAGTATGTGGCCCAGGGGCGTGGTGACATTGGGAGCCCCAGCATCAAGAGGGGCATCTTCTGGGCAAAGGTGAGGACCAACAAGAGGCTGACGGGGCCCCTAGAGCAGGAAGAGGGGCTACCAGGAGGAGGAAGGTTCAAGTCTGGGGAGGAAATGGGAGAGAGACGCCATCCAGATATCAGGGTGTGGGGCAGAGACTGGCCCCTGCTTCCTGGGGACGAAAGCTGGTTAGAATGAGGTGAGGGGCTGGGGACTGAGGACATCAAAGGTAAAGTCACCTGGGTGAGTTAAGAACTCAGGAAACATCTCTTTGAGGGTGGGAGGGTGTCAGAAAGAACATGTCAGACAAGGACAGCGTGGCTCTGAGAGTCCCTCCAACTGCTCTCAACGGCTGAGTGTAGAAATGCTAAGGTGAATGATGAACAAACTGCAGTGAGGACATTTGGTCAAAAAGAAGTGAGGGAGAGTGAGCGGGGGAGGAGGATGGGACTGGAGAAACCAGGAGGGAAGCCAGAGACTGCAGTGGGATGCCCACCCCCACCCCCTCCCACTCCCCCGCAGGCAGGGTGAGGGAGAGGACACCAGAGTGGGGGCTGGTGTCGGGAAGTGAGAGGTTAGGGAGGACCGGGGTCATCTGAGTGATTGTTGGTACCATGTAGGATGATGGCGGGATTTGGGGTAGAGAAGATGCCCAAGATCCCAAAGCCAAAGAAAATGGCAGGCCTTCAGGAGCGAGGGGTAGAGTTGGACAGAGAGGTGATGAGTGAGCAAGAGGAATGGTCAGAGTGGGCACGTGGAGGCTCAGGGTTCAGAGGGAGCAGCGTGCGTCCCACCCTGGCAGGGACAGCCATGACAAGGTGGTAGGTGGGGTGTCCCCAAGGCCAGTGAGTTGTCCTGGGGCAGGAGGAAGGGCTGCTAGGACCTTGGACATGCAACCTCCAGTGAATGTTGGGGCAGGAAGATGAGGAGCACCGGAGGGAGGAGGGGGCATCACCTCAGTGGGGTGATCTGACTTCAGAGCGAGGAGGCTCTCAGTGGTTCTCAGGACTGGGATGGACTTCGGGGAGGACACCAGACCAGTGGCTGCCGGAGGGTGAGCCCCGTCTGGTGGAAGGATGTAAGTGGTCCAAGGTCAGGCCAGACAGACTGGACTGCAGCCCTGGCTCTGGGACACAGGGCTCTTGACCAGGCCCTTCTAAAACCTCTGGGATCAGGCTGCCCTAGGTGGGCCCAGGGGGTGGCAGTGGCCCAATGGTCACAGGCAGACCAGGTGTGGGGTGGGGCAGAGAGGGAGCATTGTGGGAGCTATCTCTGGATGCTGGGTGGACCTGCTGCTGCCCATCACAGGGTGCAGACAGAGGGTCCCCAGGCAGGGTCCTGAGGTTGGTAGGAGGCAAGCTGGAGGGGTCCCCTTGCCATGAGCTGCCTGCCTTCCAGTGCTTCATCAAGATCAGCGCTGCCTACGGCTCTACCAAGGACGTCTCTGTCTACAGCGTGCTGGGCCTGCCCCCCTCCCAGATCTTCATCGTCGGCCGGCCTGCCAAGAAGTACCAAAGCCAGTGCCAGGTGGGTGGAGGCTGGGCTGGGGGCTGCGGGTGCGTGCTAGAGGGTGGCGGTGGGGGCAGTCAGAAGTTCATTCGTTTGCGTATTTAGACAACCCGTTTTCGTTCATTCCTTTGCTTGCTCCTCCAGTCATTCCCTATGGGCTCCTCCCCTGAGGTAGAGGAGGCTTCCCAGGGTAACTTGCATCAGCCAGTGGGGGTTGGGGGACAGGGAGAGCCACGGGCGGTGACAGTACCATGTAATGGGCCCATGGTGCATGGCAGAGGCCACAGAGAACTGTGGGACACAGGACGGAACTGCTAACCTGGGCTAGGGGCAAGGGCGGCTCTCTCTCTCTCTCTCTCTCTCTCTCGCTCGCTCGATTGGATGGAGTTAGAGTCAAGGTTGGGAGGAGGACTTGTGGATGAGGCAGATGTATTCTGGGAACTTCAGTGACCCAGCTTGGTGGAGGGTGATGTAGGAGGGAGCAGAGAGTGGGGGTGCTGGGGCGTGGCCAGGCATGCCTGTTGATGTCGTCTCGTAGGGATGGATCAGCCCTCTCAGTAGTTGGAGTGAGTCCTGGAGAGGACTGTGATAGTTTGTCTCTCTGGCTGCGGGTGGAATGTGGCCCTGAAGGGAGAAGGGAGCCAGGATGGCACCCCAGTTTCTGGTTAGTGTGGCAGGGTCATGGTGATTGGGGAGTAGGTTAAGAGGAAGTTGAGTGTGAGGTGCCTGAGAGGGAGTGGCCAGTGGGCGGTCAGCCTGATGGTCAGGGGCTCAGTTGTCGCTTTGTTGTAAGGTGCCCTCAAGTTGGTTCCGACTCACAGCGACCCTGTGTACAACCAAGCGGAACCCTGCCCGGTCCGGTGCCATCCTCATGATTATGCTTAAGTTTGAGCCCATTGTTGAGTCACGGGCCTTCATCTCTCTGGGCTTCCTCTTTCTCACTGCCGTTCTACTTAACTAAGCACAATGTTCTTCTCCAGGGATGAGGCTCTCCTGACAACATGTCCAAAGTACCTGAGAGGATGTCTTACCATCCTCACCTCTAAGGACCATCCTGGCTGTACTTCTTCTAAGACAGATGTGCTGGTTCTTTTGGTAGTCGAGGGTACCTTCAATTTCCTTCAGCAGCACCGTCATTCCAATGGCATAGTTTATTCCAATGGCATAATGTCTTCCCTGTTCAGTGTCCAACTTGCACAAGCATTTGAGGCGATTGGAAATGCCGTGGCCTGGGTCAGGCGCCCTTGACTTTTCTAAGCGATAGCCTTGCTCGTCCACGCTTTAGAGAGCGTGTGTGCAGCTGACCCACCCACTGTGATGCACCCTTCTGATCTCGTGACTGCTGCTTTTCCGTGAGCGTTGATTGTGGATCCGAGCAAGATGAAATCCTTGACAGCGTCAATCTTTTCTCCGTTTGCCATACTGTTACCTGTGGGTCCAGTTGTTAAGATTTGGGGTTTCTTTACATTGAGCTGTAATTTATACTGAAGGCAGCAGTCCTTGTTCATCAGCAAGGGCGCCAAGTCCTCCTCACTTTCAGCAAGCAAGGTTGTGCCGTCTGCCTACTGCAGGTTGCTAACAAGCCTTCCTCCCATCCTGATGTCGTTTTCTTCTTCATTTAATCCAGCTGTTTTGATTATTTATTTGCCCAGCATACAGATTGAATAAGTCTGATGAAAGGATAAAAAACCCCGGCACATACTTTTCTTGATCTTAAAACATGCATTATTCCCTTGCTCTGTGCAAACAACTGCCTCTTGGTCCAGGGAGATGCTGTAGGAGTACAGTTACGTGTTTTGGAATTCCCATGCTTCCCGATGTTATCCATAGTCTGTTATGATTCACAGTCAAAGGCTTTCGAATAGTTCATACAACACAAGCAAGCATCTTTCTGACACTCCCTGTTTCGAGCTAAGACCCACCTGATGTCAGCAACGATATCCTTTGTTCCACATTTTCTTCTGAATCTGGCTTGACTTTCTTGCAGCTCCCTGTCAAGGTACTGCCGCAACGGTTGCCGAATGACCTTCAACAAAATATTACTTGCATGTGACATTAATGATATTGCTGGATGATGTCTGTGGATCACCTTTCTTTGGAACAGGTACAAATACGGGTCTCTTTCACTAAGTTGGCCAGATAGCTCTCTTCCATTTTCTTGGGATAGATGAATGAGCGCTTCCAGTGCGTCATGAGCACGCTGAAACATTTCAGTTGGCATTCCATCAATTCCTGGAGCCTGGCTTCCGGCTAAGGCCTGAGGACAGCTTGGACCTCTTCCTTCAGAACCATTCGTTATTGATCATATGCTACCTCTTGAAATGGGTGAATGTCCATCACTGTGTATTCTTTCCATCTTCTTTTGATTTGTCCTGCCTGGCTCACTACTTTGCCCACAGAATGTTTTAATATTTCCGCTCGAAGCTTGGATTTTTCTTCAGTTCTTTCAGCTTGACATATGCTGAGCATGCCCTTTCTTTTGGATTTTCTAATTCTCGTAGTTCTTTGCACATTTCACGAGAATACCTTTCTTTGTCCTCTTGAACGGCTCTTTGAAATTTTCTGTTCAACACTTCCCTTTATCTTTTCTTCATTTGTTCTAGCTGTGAGACCTGGAGACTCCTTTTGATCTTCCTCTCCTGTCTAGTTAGTGGCTTTGGCTTTCCTCATATATGATGTTCTTGATATCATCCCCTAGCTCGTCAGGCCTTCCGTCCTTAATGTCCAATGGGCCGAATCTATTCTTGAGGGTTTCTCAAAATTCAGGTGGAATATACTCAAGATCATCTTTGGGTTTCATGGACTTGTTTTAATTTTCTTCAACTTCAACCTGAACTTACATAGGAGCAATTGATGGTCTGTTTGATAGTCAGCCCCTGGCTCATACGGAGGTGCTTTATCACCTGTTCCCACAGATGTAGTCAATCTGATTTGCGTGTATTCCATCTGGACAAGTCCACAGGTACAGTTGTCATTTATGTTGTTGAAATAAGACATTTATGATGATGATGAAGTCATTGGCCTTGCAAAACTCTATCATGGGAGCTCCAGCTTCGTTTCTCTCACTAAGGCCATTTTTATTATCAAGGGTCTCAGGAAACGTGTGTGTGTGTGTGTGTGTGTGTGTGTGTGTCTCCAGAGAAGGGAGTGGGAGGAATCTGAACAACAGTGAACAGAGCTCATAATTAAACTCTTCTCAGCGTTAGCGCACTCTACATACTTATTCATTTAATGCCCAGAACAACTCTAGGATATAGGTCTACCATCCTCATTTACAGAGGAGGAGGCCAAGTCACCAAGAGGTTAGGTGGCTTTCCCACAGTCACACAGCTGGGTGACTCTAGACCTGAGACATCAACCCTGCTCCACTGGAAGACAAGAAGGCGTGGTCAGTGGCTTGGGGCCAAGGGCTGGTGACCATCAAGCGTGTGTCACATGCTATTGGGAAGTCACGCCTCAGGATGAAAATTGCTCATGACTTTAGTTGCAAGGAAGCGATTCACAGCCTTGATGAGAAACTTCCTTCAGAGAGGCAAGGTTATAAGGTGCTGGCTGTGGTCAGACTCCGGCAAGGTGAAGCGTGAGGCTAGTATTTCTGAGTTTGTGTGGATGACACAAGCCTGCTGGGGTGTGGGGTGTGTCAGTTATCCAAAGAGTTCAGCTGCCCAGGTGTGGGCCTGGAGAGAGGCTGGGTGGGCCCAAGGTGGGGGCTTTGTCGAGCTGGTTGAGAAGTGGGTACAAAGGGAGCTGCTGAGAGAGTGGGCTGAAGTGCTGCCACATGGGTCCCAGCTGGGTCAGAAGGGAGGTGGAGGCAGATGAGGGAGGTACAGAGGACATCAGAGCCTGTGTGTGTGTGTGTGTGTCTCAATGAAGCTCAGTGAGGGTGGGCACAGTGAGTGTGGGAGGGAGGCAGCTGGCCAGAGAGTGGGCATTGCATTTGAAGCCCTCTCAGGTGGGGAGGTGCTGGCTGAGGACAGTAGCTGAAGTGCAGTGGAGTGAGTGTCCCCATGGAGACGTCGGAAGGAGAGGTGGAGGATGTCGGGAGAATGCTGGCATCACATGCTATCATGGCAGAATGTGGGGTGATCCAGACAGACCCCACCACAATCCATGCATGCTGGAGAGGGATCCTGGAGGCCCAAGGGTGCCAGGAGATTGGAGGGAGAGTGTGAGATGCCCAAGGAGGCAGAAGGAGAGATGAAGGTGTAGGTAGGGGCCCTGGGACCCCAGCTGGTCTCACCCCCCTCCATCTGCCCGCTCTGGAGGTGTGTGAGCTTGGGAAGAAGCAGCCTCCTTAGGTGAGGGTGACAGGAGCAGCACCCACAGGGACCTCTGGATCTCACTTGAGAAAGTGAATGGAAGAAATCTTCAGGGAAGAGGGTGTTGGGTGGGAGACTTCAATTACCTGGAGAGTGAGGGCATTCTACACCCACGCTCCCCCAGCTCTACTGAACACAGATCTCCTGAGGATGGCATTCAGTAGCTTGGGGTGGGGCCCGAAAGTCTGCCCAACAAGGGTCTAGTGCTGCTGCCCAACAAGGGTTTAGTGGTGGTCCCCGGACCACATTTTGAGTAGCCAGGGCATAAGGTTAAAAGAGGAGGGATTGGCAAGAAGGGCAGCTTTAGGGGCCAGAAAGAAAACTCAACTGTATGGAGTAGAGATGGCAAATGGCATTGAACATTTTGGGGGATTCGAGAATGACAACATGGGGAGCAATTGGAATCCACTTCCCCAATAAAGACTCTAAAGAGAGCCCTGGGGCAGAGGCATAGCCAAGATGTGGCAGGGATGGAGCGGTAGGCGGTCCCTCCTGAAGGCCCCCCTCCCCTTCCCCCAGCAGCATCTAGCCCCCATGGAGGTTTCCCCAGGTGGCTGTGAGATCCTTGAGCTGGTGAACACTAATGCTTTCAAATAACTGGGCCTCCGTGGGTCAAGGCCGACTGCGGGCCTGCTCCGCTGAGCGCAGACAGGGAGGGCAGACAGGGAGGATACGGCAGCCAAGGGCTCTGAGCGCAGCAGAGGCCAATGTCCAGGCCTGAGCGCGAGGAGGTGCAGGTGTCATTTTCAGGCCCTGCCACAACGTGTGGAGGGAAAGAGGAACTGTGCTTGGCTGGCGTGTTTGAGCTGATACTATGGGAACGTGCGCACAAAGATGGGTGTCAGGTGTTTGGACTGGTGTGCAATTTCAGGCTTGCCATAGGTGCTACTTTCCGGGTTTAGTTACGTGTTGGGCTGTTAGCCACACAGTCAGCAGTTCAAAAGCGCTCTGCAGGAGAATGATGAGGCTTTCTACTCCCATAGAGTTGACATTCAAAAACAAAACAAAACAAAAACCAAGAAAAAACCCCCAAACGTTAACCATCTCAGAAACCCACCGTTTTACTCTTGGCAGTTTTGCTCTGCCCTATAAAGTCGCGCTGAGTCGGAATCAACTTGCCAGCAGTGAGTTTGGATTGACATTTTGGATGCTTCTGTCTGGTTACGACCCCTGGGAGTACTGCACAGGGGGAGCCTGGACAGTAAATAGGAGGCTCGGGGCGGGGAGGCGTCGGGAGCATGGGGGTCTGGAGCTGTTGGGTGGCCCCGCGCCGCCTGCCAGCCTGACGTCTGTCCCCTCCGCAGTTCCTGAGCGAGGGCTACGCGGCGCACCTGGCTGCGCTGGAGGCCAGCCACCGCTCGCGCCCCAAGAAGAACAACTCGCGCATGGTCCTGCGCAAGGGCAGCTTCGGGCTCCACGCGCAGCCGGAGTTCCTGCGCAAACGCAACCACCTGCGCAGGACCATGTCGGTGCAGCAGCCGGACCCGCCCGCCGCCAACCCCAAGCCCGAGCGCGCGCAGAGCCAGCCCGAGTCGGACAAGGACCACGAGCGGCCCCTGCCGGCGCTCAGCTGGGTGCGCGGGCCCCCCAAGTTCGAGTCGGTGCCCTGAAGGGCGGGCTGTGCTCAGAGCAGGGGGGCCACCAGGCCGCCTGCAGGGGCAGGAGGGGCTGCCTTCTCCCTGACACAGGCGTTTTCCAGCTTCTTCCCTCCCGTGTCTGTCCAGCAGTGTCCGACCAGAGAGGGGACCCTGCCCGGCTTTAGGGGGCTCCCTGGGCCATGAGGGGGAAGGGAGGGAGAGACCCAGAGGTCTCAGTGCAGTCACTGCTGCCTCCCCTATGCCTGCGACCGCAAGCCCAAGTCGGGGCTGAGGGTTTGTGTCCTGGCTGGGGTGACCCGGACCTGCCCGAGCTGGAGCATTTTGGGAAAAGTCGACCAGCTTGCGAGCCCCCCAGGCTGGCCCAGGAGTGCGGCCCGCCTACCTGGAGAGGCCCAGACCCTGAGGCAGCAGCCTTCCGTCTGCTGCAGTCTCAAGCCAGGGGCGAATGGCTTCGTGCTTGCCACCACGCCCTGTGTGACATTCCGGGTCACCATTGTGCACCCATCTCTCCCGTGAACAAGTGGCCACTTTCTAGGCATGAGAGGATGTCCCCTGGGTTCATCCTCGTGTGACTCCTTGGCCATCAGGGTGTGGGGTGGGTCTGGTGCTGACAGTCTGTCCTCCTGCAGCTGTCCATTGTCCCCCTTCTTTCCTGGCTCCCTGGAGGCCGGGCCTCCCTCTGCCTGGAGCCCACCCCTGTGAGGCTGCAGTCATGGGTCTAAGGGCCAGTGGGGTGGGCTGTGTGGGGGGTGGGGGGCCCTGCTGCCCTCCCTCTCTGGGCCCCGCCCTTCAGCTGTTCTTGGAGGTTCGCCCCCCAGCTGACATAGATGCTGCAGTGAGACAACGAGGCTTACATCTGCCCCAGGGGCTTTTCAGGCCATGGGCGGGTTCAGTGATCACCCTTTCCACATGTCCTCAGAGGGACTGTGAGTGGGTCAGGGGAGAGGAGCTGTGTTCTCCTCTCCTCCTAGGATACCCCTCTAGCAGGGTCCCTACTTCTAGGACAGCCTCAGGGGGTCACAAGTATCCCCAAAGGGTACTGATCTGGCTCTCCCTGTCCCCTAAGCTCAGCCTAACTTCTCCCTCCCGGTCCTGGCAGGCTTCTGGGAACTCATGTGACTTGGGCACAAACTGTTGTCTTCTTTCCCCGTCACTCTGCCCCTCAGCTTGGTTTGTGCCCATGACTTCCTCCTGGGTGGTCCCAAGGTGGGCAAGACCCCCTGCTGCTGAGTCTCTGGTGGGGTGTTGTCTTCCGCACCTCACCCTAGCTCCTGGCCCAGGCTTGCACCCACAGTGGGTGTAGCCTCTGAGCCCCGTGGCTGTCACTGAGGCTGATCCCAGCTATTCCAGTCTGGGCGCCGTGCCAGGGCTGGGCACCCCGCACCCCCAGGTCTGGATTCACAGGTCTGGATTCACATGCCCACCCTGTGTTGCTTCTGCTCCATGTCTACCTCGTGCAGCTCCCTGTAGCCTACTTCCCACGTGCAGGCTACTGCCGGTGGGACGGGGGCACCTGGGTGCCCCTGCTGGGGCTGGTGGGCTCTGGGCTCCCAGTCCCCAACCACTCGAAATACTCCAGTCTGCCAGCGCCCTCCCCACTGGCCCAGCCTGATCCCCAGCTGTTGTTTCAGTGCTGAGTCCTGCATGTAAACCCGGGGTGACTGGAGAGCCTGAGGGGTGGGGGTGGGGGGCGTGGATCAGCCACTTCCTCCCTCTCTGGTCCTGCCTGAGTATTGTACAGCAGTCAGCATCCCTCCACCCCCCTAACATCCCACCCTTTTGGCTCTCCACAAAGCACCAGCCCATAGGGCAGGGTTCGCTCTATCCTCCCCACGTCTGCCTTCCAAAGTAGCCGGCATTAAACTCGGGCAGATGTACTCTGATTCCCTGAACTCCCACCAAGCAGAAGCTGATGATGCATTTAATATTCTCAAATGATAACATCACTGGTGAGATAGTGCCCCTTCCCCCCGTTTCTCTCCCATCCCTCTCCCCTTGCTGAGGACCCTAGGAGAGGAGAAGAGGGATTTGCAGGCACGGGTTCAGGCTGGGAGCTGGGATGTGGGACACAGTGGGGCAGTCCAGAGGCACCCCCCCCCCACTGGGATGTAAACGTCGCACCCTTGAGCTGCTGCCGGTGTATGGTGGGGTCTTGCAGACACAGCGCTCCATTGGTGTCCGTGAATGTGTGTATTTGTGTTTCTGTACAGTAAAGAGACTCGGGCCACTTCTGTTCCTTCTGCTTTTACGACAACTGTGTAACCAATATGCACTTTCTACAACTAGTGGTTTGTCCAGCTTTGTCACAGTGTGAGTGGGAGAGGAAACAAAGAACCCAGTCCTATTGTTCTCCGGAGGGGAGGCTTGGCCCTCCCCCGAGTAGTTCTGTGAACCCCCATCTGACTGTCTTTAGAGAATCCCTGGGCTCTGGCTGCGCCTGCTCCCAGCGGCTGGGATGCTGCTCTCCCGCCTGACCAAAGCTCCCTGTGTCCCCGTGGCATGTTCGTCCTTCCTGATTCGGTGGGGTGCCTTGACCCCCGGACTGCCTGCTCTCCCTGCCCCTTTCACCGTGTGCCCTGTTGGGGACTCAGGGTGTACCCTCAGCCAGGGCCTGCCCTTCCAGCATCATTGCTTTCGTTGGAATGACCTTGACTTCTCCCTTAGGCTCTGCCAAATATTGGAGAGGGGGATCGAGGAAGTAGACCTCTTTACATGTATTTGGATGACTCGCTCCCAACCCCCTCCCCAGTCTGGGCACAGGTCCCCAGACAGCAGACATCTCTGAGCCTTGGTCATCCTGAGATTCGGAGCCCCGGCGATACCACGCTCACACGCTCAGCAAACTCAAAGGCTGGCGGTTTGAACCCATTCAGTGGTGAAAGACCTGACACTCACTCTCCTAACGATTTCAGCCTAGCAATCCCTTGGGGCAGTGCTGCAGTCCATGGGCCAGCTGAGTTGGAATGAACCAGACTGCCACAATCCAGAGATTCCTGGGGGCTGGCTTTTCAAAGGAGGATGCTACTTAGTGGTTCTCTTATCATTTTATCACTTGGGGCCCAGGCCTGGGCTGGGAAGTGTCTTATAGATTTAAGAAGGGACACCAATCTTTTTAAGTGAGACCCAGACCCAGGCAGGTAGCAGTCGGTTGGAGATGGTGACCAGTTGACATCTCCCCCCAAGACAGGTTACTGGCCTGCCTGGGAGGGGCAGCCCTGGCTGTGCAGCCAGCTGGCTGGGCTTCTGTGGCTGTCCCCAACCCCGCCTTAAACAACCAACTTTCCCCGCTGAACCCGGGGGATTTGGGGTGCCTAGTACTTTGGAAACCTGCTCTCTTTGGCTCAGCCAAAAGAAACATCCCCTTTCTTCCTTTCCTCGGGGATTGGGGCAACTTTCTTAAAACGAGAGTTCAGGTTCCGCCCAAGCAGTGAGGCCTTGCCCAGGCTCTGCTCTCTGGGGGGAAACAAGAGTCCAGGTGGTGCCTGGGAAGAAAGGCCTGGCGACTCGAGTCTGTGAACACGATGGGCCAGGAGGCCTGCAGGGCAGCGGTTCTCCCCTGTCCTGAGCGTACAGCAGCGGCAACAACTAGATTGTTTTGCTGAGAAACCAACTGCGTTTCCGAGGAATGTGAAATTGTGCCCTTCTCCCCTCTGGGGTGACGGAGGGCGGGTGACACTCAGAGGGGCAGGAGAGACAAGGTTAGCTGGCTCACGGGGACCCCCAGCCTGAGTCCCCCCTGTCCTTTCTTCCCTTTGTTTACTTGGTGGTAGCAGCCAGTCCGACTGTGCTTGTGGCCCGGCTGTTCCTCCGTGTGTCGCGCCCAGTATTGTCCGTGGTGGGGCATGACTGTGGTGTGGCGGTCTCAACTCCCTGGGCTGCCTTGTACCCACTCCGTGGGAAAAGAACACGGAAAGGAGCGGGTTTTGGACGCGTCAAACACAGCAAAAGCAAAAGCAACGCACTGCGTGCGGCTGAGTGATAGGAATTTTACAGTGGGTCTCGATTTCGATGTGAGCTGGTTTTTAACTCTCAAACGTTGTCATTTAAATAAAAACCTTATTTGCCTTTAACACGTCCTTGGCTCTGGAGACTGCTGGAAACAGACACACAAACACCGTCTTTCTGGTTCTTTGGGTTACCCACTCCTCCCTTCTCTGGGGGGTTGGTGGGCTGGGGATGGAGGCGGCTGGGCCAACAGAGCTGGTCCTAACCCTCAATCCTCTGGCCTGGAGGATGGTAGTGGAAAGGCAGCTATCACATATGGAAAGATCGACTTTATTAATAAAAAAGGGGAAAGAAAGCATTATTCTTCAGGAATGCCACATGCCACGCCGGGCTCTTTCTAGTACAAGAACAAAACAGATTTCTTCAAAAATTTACAAAGGGCAGGCATGGCTCCGGACTGTGGTGCACACGCATGTTCAGCTGGAGATCTCTGCTAATTCTTCTTCCTGGGCTTGAGTGGGGGAAGAAGGCATGGGAGCAAGGTCCCTAGGAGCCTCAGGACTGGAAACTTGGGATGAGGAGATGGATGGCTTTCAGCAGACCCCGCTCTACGTATGTAGCCTGGAACTCCCCGCAAACATCCAGGGCCTAGATTTCACACTAAAGATGCCGCAGCCTTGAACTTCTGACCCCAAAAGTTCCCTGGGGGAGAGGATGGCCATCCCCCGTGCTCCAAGGCTACCCGAGCCACTCTCCAGCTGTAGTCACCGATGGCCCAGGTGCTGCTGGAGCAGGAGAGCAGGGGTGCCTTAGCAGCTCGGTCCTTGTGAGCAGGGGCTACTGATGAGTCCCAGGGGTGGCAAGGCGGGGACTAGCAGAAACATCCTGGGTCCTGAGCGTGAGGAGGTCAGATCTGGCTGGTTTCCTGTAAGACAGAGTCCCGTTTAACACCCCATTTTGGGTTCAAGGTGGCTTACTGGTTCCACATTGGCCAGCAGTTCAAAACCACTAGCTGCTCCCCAGGAGAGAGACAAGGCTTTCTACTCTCGTCAAGCATTAGTCTCAGAAGCCCATGGGAATGGTTTTACCTTGTCCTTGCTCTGAGCTGGTATAGGTAGGCTCAAGCCAGGGGAAATGGAGACGCCTTAGCCTTTTCTCCAAAACGGGGGGATTGGGAGGTGGCTCTCATTATTCGATGGGCATATTCGGAATGCTCCATCAGCGAGGGGATTGGTGAGGTGAGCTGCTCAGGCTCCAGGCCATTAGAGAGGGCTGCAAGCTTGCCCTTCTGCTCGGCCCAACAGCTCCGTGGAGTCTTTCAGTGAAGGCTCATTTCTTCACCGTGCCTCCAGATGCGCATGCGCACACGCATGCTCACACGTGGGGATGCGCACACAGAGGAGAAGGACGCTGGGGACAGGGCATTACCTGGAGGGTGTGGTCCTCAGCCATGAATGAGAGAAACCGTCATGTCGCCACTGGATGGAGAAGGGGGGGGGTTGTGTCATTGGGGAGCTCTGAGGGGAACTCCCAGTGGGGACTAGACACAGCCCCGTTGTGTGAGCTGGCAGCAGCCTTGTTAACAGTGAAACAGGTCTGGGTGATCTGGGCCTGGGCCCTGCTCCAAGGACGGGGGGCTCTGTGCTAGCCATGCTGCTGCTATTTGAAGTGCCACGGTCAGGCTGAGCCCGGGCGCCGTCGGGGTGTTGGAGAAAGGGAAGATCTCTTAGGCACCTGACCAACCGCCCGTGTGTGGGCCTGGGTGCTGGGCACTGAGGCTCCGAGTGCTACACACATCTGTCCCAGCCCAGCTCTTTCATCCCCTCTCATGTGACAGGTGAGACGGCTCAGAGAGGGGCAGGGTCACCTGGAGGGCCTGAGCCTGAGCCGACCTAGAACAGGGTGTGGTTCAACTCTGGTTACTTTTCACTTTCCGGCCTAGGCTGTCCATGCGACTCACCTGTCCTCGGCCACAATGGCTTCATCCAACATGTGGGACAGCTTCTGGAGATGCTGAAGTCCTGCCCCCACAGGTTCCAGGTCACTGTCAGACTCGCTGGCCCCAAAGGAAAAGCCACGTCAGTGACTAGCTGGGAACCTGTTGCAGGAATATTCCCTCCCCGCTGTCCCAATCCAGTGCTGGAGCCCGCTGCCCCTGTCCCCAGTGCAGCAGTAGGGGCCCAGAGATGACCACCTCACCCCAGACCACCAGTGCATGAAGTGGCAGGGTGCCTTTGAACACCCAGCCAAGAACAGAGCTGACAACACGTGAGGCCAAGGTGACGGGCAGGTGAGCTCAGCTGCTCTCCACATGGACAGTGTTCATTAAAAACCCAAACCCATTGCCACCGAGTTGATTCTGACCCAAAGAGATCCCGAAAGATCGAGTTAGAACTTCCTTACTACCATGGAGTTGGGTTTCCAAGTCTGTAACTCACTAGGAAAGTAGACAGTCTCATTTTTCTTCCTTGGAATGGCTGGTGGTTTTGAACTGCTGACCTTGTGGTTAGCAGCCTAACCTGTAACCACTAAGCCATTGAGGCTCCTGGGTCACCAGGCCAGGGCTAAGTCCCTTAGATGGCATAATGCTTACTCTGAGGCTGCCAGGTGGTTTGGACCAAATGTGATAGAACCAAGCTCATCGCTTCCCTTTACAGAGAGGCAAACGGAGGCTCTGAAAGATTCCTCCAGGGCCCCCAGTGGTGGGCAGAGCTGGACCAGACGTGGGTGCCTCTGGCTCCAGGTAGTCATCGGAGGTACTCAGAAGCCCCTTGAGCCCAATTAGCATTTGGAGGCCAGGGGAAAGAAATTGTGCCTGACTCAGAGGCCACACGCCCTGTGGTGAGGGGCTGTCTTACTTGCCTGGGGGAGCAGAGGGGCTCTGAGGACGAGTAGGGGCTTCGGAAAGCAGCTGATCTCCTGGAGCGCCGGAGTGGCTGGGCACGGGCGCCCTTCTGGGCAGAGAGGCTGCGCCGTTCCCTCTCCCAGGGTTCCAGGGCTGAGTAGGCTGGGCTCCTCTGCTGCAGGCGGCGTGGAGGAGGGCTGCTGCCCTTCCGAGCCCCTCTCTGCCTCCGCGCTTTCCCGTGCGTTTCCACCAGCCACTTGGTGCCATTTTGGCAGGACTCTTGGATTCGCTGTGACAGACACAGGGAAAGGTTAGCACAAAGTCAAGGGTGGGTGACAACTACTCCAGACGCCCCTGGGTCCATCATGCAGGCTGCCTTGGGTCTCACATGTGCAGGGTGGGGATAACTCTGAGGGACATGGCTCCGCTGCAGGGCCCCAACCCAGAGACTTCCAGGACTGCAGGAGCAGGAAGACGATTCTGCCCCTGACAGCCTCCAGGGCAGGTGGCCCAGAGAAGACTTCGGCCCCTACACCCTGACACGCCATCATGTGTCTTCCTGCTTCTGGTCTCACGCCAATCTGTCACTCACACTGCTCCACAAGGACGGCCTCTCAGAGGTAGTTCTGATCAGTACACTCAATTGCTCCAAGCCCCTCTTCGGCTCTTGGTTGCCTAGAGAATGAAGCCGCTAGGCTTGGGACTGTTATTCAAGGCCCTTGCCAACTTATCTTTGTCCTGGCCAACCAGAGTCCCAAGGTTAGAGGAAGACCCACATTCAACGTAGTCAGTTCTGGGACCTGGCTACCCAGCACCTTGAACGTTTTGATGCCTGGGTGTGATGAAGACGTTTCCCGACAAAGCCTTTCTGTAAAGGGTCCAGAAAGAGCCCTCCTCAAAATCTACAGAATTCCCAGACACCTGTGGTCTCTCCACCTTCAGCACCCAGAGGTCTGATGGGCAGCCCAGGCTCAACATGTATGGCACCTTCTTTCTCTAACCATATTGTTGACAGTTCAATGTTAAAACCTATGAAAAAGAATAGTGCATTCATGACCACAATCAAATTTGGCCACACTCTTCATTCTTGCACCCACTGTGATTATTAGCTCTCCATTGCCCCTCACCCTCCTGTCATAACCGTCACACTCAGTCGATACTGACTCACAGCCACCCTACAGGGCAGAGTGGCACTGCCCCCGTGGGTTGCTGAGACGTAAACTCTTTGTGGGAGTAGAAAGCCACATCTTTCTCCCACAGAGCTGCTGGTGGCTTCGAACTGCTGACCATGCGGATCGCAGCCCAATGCATCAGTAATCACTACACCACCAGGGCTCATCAGAACCTTAAGGATCTATTTATTCAGTTATGTCTCTATGGATTCACCTACCCTGGATCTCATACACTGGAAATGTCTGACACTTCCTTATCTACCGATTTCATCGGATGCCAAATCCTCTCAAACTTGCTGTCTGAGTTATAGCAGTGGTCGACTCCTCTCCAGGTCTAGGCCCCCAGTTCCAACCTCCCACCCCCAGCCCCTGCCTCAAGAGTGACTCTGCCTCCAATCCCTTTGTTAGCAACCAGCTACAGCTGTTTCTGTTGCTAATCGGCCCAGATCCCTTGCCTCCCTGCTTAGATTCTCTGCATCGCTCTTGGGAGGCTTGGGAACACCACTAGCCCTCGAGACTCCTGCCTTGGAGCCCCATCCTGCTTGCTCGTCTTTGGCCACGCTGCTGCTCCTGATTTGCTACCTGCCCTCCAGTCTGCCTCCACCTAAGGCCGATCCCTCCCCCTGCTCCCCTACACAATGGAACTAACGCTGCTGGGCCTGTGCCCCGCCTATCTTCCTAGTCTCTCTTAGCCTGGAATCTCCCCTGACCCTAGTTCACATCTCAGCAATGCATGAGCTTCCACGGACAGATGGGTGGGGGTCACTGGCCAGGAAATGCATGGATCCTCTCGAATGGAAGGTGGGCATTCCGCCCCCAAACCACCTCCCTCTCCTCTGGTCTTCCCAGACAAACTCCTGCCAGCTCGCTTGTCTGTGCGTCTTGCTTTCTCTGAGCCCCAGGGCTGGATGCAGGCTGTTTCATCTGCTTTATTTACACAGCGTTCCGTGGGGGCAGTAGGGTTCCATTATACGGTTTTTGCCCTCCATATCCAGGGGAACTTGGTTTGAGCCTCAGCAGATGTACCTCATGCGCCCCCACCATCGGTCCATTGGCAGAGGCTTGAGTGCTGCTACGATGCTGCACAAGACCTCTTTAGAGGGTTGAAAAGCAAGGATGTTCCGTTGAGATCTAAAGGGATGGACACAGGCCATAATTCGTCTCCATCGCCTCACAGTACGTGGACGTTGGACACTGAATGGACAAGGAAGCCCAAAGAGGCATCAAAGCTTCTGGATTGTGGCGCTGGTGAAGGATACGGAAGGTACCACGGACTGCCCAAAGAGCCAGTAGATCTGCCTCGGAAGTACAGGCAGCATGTTGACATGGTGTCTCACGTACTTTGGGCATGTTGTCAGGAGCGACCGGTCCCTGGCCCCTGGTTGGTAAAGTAGAGGGAGCGTGCAAAAGAGGAAGGCCCTGGACGCGCTGGATGGACATGGTGGCTGCAACGATGGGCTCAGACATAAGAACGATGGTGAGGAGATGGTGAGGATGGCGCAGCACCGGGCCTCTTTCCTTTTGTGGTACACAGGTTCCCTCTGAGTCCCAACGGACTCGACAGCACTGAACAACAACATGATCCTGAGGAGCTTCCAGACTAGCACAGACTAGGAGGAAAGACCTGGAGATCCATCGGATCTACTGCTAAACAAAGCAGCTCATGAGATCCCTGGGGACCACAACCGGTGGTCATCAGATTGAGTGCTGTGTCAGAGTTGCACTGTGCTCCATAGAGATTTCTGAGGCTAACTTTACAGAAACCGGTCACCAGGCCTTTCTAGGGGGAGTGCCTCTGAGTGTTCTCCGACCTCCGGCTAACAGAGCACATGAACCCATTGCGAAGGAGGCGGGGCGGGGGCGGCTCCTGAAGCCAATGGATGGTTAGTTTCCTCAGTCTTACCTGGGACACCGCTCCCAAGGCGTTCTTAGCGGAACGCGCCGCGGCCTGCAGGCCCTGCTGCCCGGGCTCCGGGCTTTCCAGGCGTTTCCAGGAGGGGCCTGCGCCCAGGTTGAGGCTGACGGTTCTCAGGGGCAGCCGCCTTTGGAATTGTCTGCACAGCGAGCCCAGGGTGCTGCCGGAGCCCTCCGGGTGCCCAGCGGCCGGCAGCACATTCTCCTCCAGCTGCTGCCGGTCCTGGAGGGATTTGCGGCGCTTGGAGGCTCCCACGCCCTGCCACCGGGAGGCCATCTGCCTGCCAAGGCGCCTGTTCGGATCACCAGACCCTGGGGGTGGTGGGTGGGGGGAAGGTCAGAGGGCAGGTAAGCAACGTGGCGGGCACTCACCGAGGGGTGGAGACCCGTGGAGGGGGGAGGATTAGGGGGATGGGCAGGTATTGGTGGCCCCAGTGGGTGAGGGACACGTATTGGCTGGATGCAGGCCGCTCTTTGGAAGATGAATTAGTAATGCTCACAAGAGGGCAGAGACGGATCAAGGGATGGTCAGCGTGTCCTGCTGTCCCATGCTTCCCAGGCAGCTGCCCTTCCATCCCGGCCTCCGTTCTGCTCTGTACCCCGGGGGTGGAGAGAAGCCAGGGTGCGGCCAGGTCCTCACTAAGCCCCGGACACAAACGCACTGACCTGGCGTGCTCCCGCCCCAGGCCAGGCACGCTCATTACACCCTGATGCCCCCCACATCCAGGTGCGCACTCCCTCCCTGCCGTGCCTGCTGACAGACACCGGTCCCTCCCCCAACCCCGAGCGTGACTCGGGGACCCCAACCGCTGGAGGGTAGCCCGCACTCACCGTGCAGACAGCTGCTGACCAGACCTCCGAGCTGCTTGGCTCTCCCACCCTGCAGATTTGAAACTCGGCGCGGACCCGCCCCGGGACCCCGTTCTCGCCGCTGATTGGTCTTGTTCCGGACCCCGCGGTTGTGCCGGGAATCTTGATTGGCTTCCTGCTCTCCCAGCTCTAAATCCTGCGGTCGGATTGGTCCGGCTGTGCTCATTCATCTCTCGAGACCCCCTCCTAGGTTTGGCGCCCGAGAGTCCTCCGCTTTGTATCTGCCCCTCCCGCTCGCACCAGCCGGACTCCAGCTTCCGCTGGGCGCAGCCCCCGCGACCCCTCCCGGACGCTCGGCCGCAAGACGCCGCCCCAGGCCTGATCGGATCCCGGGGACGGTCCCCCCTCGAGCTTGAAAACCGGCCGATCTGACCGAACCGAGAGCTCTATGGAACCTGGAGCTCAGATCTGTCCGGGTCTCCCCGGGACCCCTCTGTCCTCCACCACCTTACGCCATACCCCGCGCCGTCCCCTCCGCGCCGTGTCCCAGAAGTCTGGCTTCCTTCTTTGCTCTATGTTTGTCAGAAAGAGCCATGCTGGGGTTCAGAAGCCTGGGTGCCCATGAGAGTTTTGTTTCAAATCCCTCTCATGACTCTTCTTGGTCCTACAAAGAAACACCTCCTGGGACAGAGGAGAGACCCAGATTCTGGGGTTCTGCCTTCCACCCCCACCCCGCCCTGCCCGTGCAGAGTACAAACCCTATGACGTCCTTCTCTGCGACACGGGCACCCCCACAAGTCGGACCCCACTGGAACGCAAGGCGCTTCGCCGTAGTTTATTTCCACTCTCTGCCTGTCATCAGCCTGCTGTTCTGTGGTGGCGATGCCTGAGGTGGATTGGTGGGGAATCGAACTGGAGTCTCCCTCTTACAAGGTGAGAATTCGTATGACTGCCTCATGAACATAGTGGATACCTGATGGGCTGCGATCAGCAGGGTCCTCGGGAGAAAGACAAAGCTTTCTACTCTCATAACGAATGACAGTCTCGGAAACCCACAGGGTCCGCGTTTTACTCTGTCCTGTGGGGTCATTATGAGTTGACATGGATTCGATGGCGGTGAGCCTCCTCAGCAGAAGGTGGTCGGTCTGGTGGCATCCTGGTTACTCACTGGGCTGCTAGCCTAAGGTGACCAGATTTTAACATTGGTAAAGCGGGACAAAAGTGGGACACCACTGATAAAACTCATATCGTAGCGAAATAGCCACATGGCAGCCGAAAGCCGTATACCCTTAGCTTGTTGTGCATTCTTTCCAAAAATCGGGACTTTTTTTAAACACCGGGGACGTTGGAAAAATTGTTAAAAATCGGGACTGTCCCACCAAAAGCGGGACGTCTGTTCACCTTATGCTAGCCTCAAGATCAGTGGTTTGAAACCACCAGCTGCTGCTGGGCTGGAGAGAGACAAGGCTTTCTACGCCGGTGAAGTTACACACTCAGAAACCCGCAGGGGGTGGGGAAGGTGGTTCTACTCTGTCTCCCAGGGTCGCTGTGAGTTGGGACCGGCTCTATGGCAGCGAGTTTGGCTTGACTTTGGGCTTCATTGGCTTGACGTGGGCACCCATGTTAGCTTACCTTGTGTGAGCCCTCACCAGGCGGAGTGCATGGGCGGGCTCTAATCTCCCTTCATCCGCAGGGCAACTCCATGGGGTAGATGCTAGCCTTCTTCCGATTTTACAGGTGAGAAAACGGAAGCTTTGGGCCTAAGATAGTGTACAGGAGGAACCCGGGCGGCACTGTGCTTGAACACTCAGCTGCGACCGAAAGTTTGACGGTTCAAAGCCGCCCTCTGCTCTGCAGGAGAAAGATATGGCTGTCTGTTCCCACAGAGATGGCTGCCCTGCAGGTTCACTCGGCTCTGTGCTATTGGGCTGGGCTGCGGTGGGGGGACCGGGCTCCTTGGCCACGGGGAGGCTGCACGCCTGCCCAGTAAGTGTCAGAACATCAGATTTCAAGGCCTGTGTTGTCTGACTTCACACCCCACACCCTACCTCTAGATCTCCCAGCCAAACCCAACCCACGGCCATCGAGCCAATGCCGACCCACAGGGGCCCTATGGGACACGGTAGAACCCATCACCTAGCCTAGTTAATGACATCAGAACCAAACCCAAACCAAACCAAAGCACAAACACACCCCACATAAACCAAACCCGACCCTGTTGCCTTTGAGCCGATTCTGACTCGTGGCGACGTCGCATGTGTCAGAGCAGGACTGTGCGCTGCGGGGGGCTTCATGGGTGTGATTGTTAGGGAAGCAGGCAGCCAGTTCTTTCTTCCTAGGCACCGCCGGGCATGTTCAAACCATCAAGCTTTATGCTAGGAGTTGATGGCAAACCATGTGTGGCCCCAGGGAGCTGCCTCGGAGGTGCATAGATACTCAGGATGAAGGAATGCCGGGTCAGGGCCCCACCCTGCCGGAGGAGCTTCCCTTCCCAGAAGCCTGACTGGCAGGCCAGGCTCACCAACAGGTGTTTCCATGGAAACCAGAGAAGAAGAAGAAGGATTGTCTTCTGAAGGAGCCTTCAAACCCACTTGGCTGCCCTCCGAGGGAGGGAGGAAGAGGAGGCTGTCTGTTCCTGTAAAGATCTAAAAGTCTTGGAAATCCAAAGGGGGTAGTCCTACTGCCTCAGAGACCCCTGATGGGGGACTCCTGATGGGGTCTCTAAGCATGAGCATCCACCTGATGACCGTAGAGTTCGGTTTTCTTGAGTTCTGCACGGCCTTCTGAAGCCAGGAGGAGCCCGGTGGCATGGGGCGACATGTTGGGCTGCTAACCACGAGATCCGCAGTTTGAAACCACCAGCTGCTCTGGGGGGAGGAAGCCGAGGCTTCCTACACTCTTGGAAACCCACAGGGGCAGTTCTTAGGGACCTAATGAGACGGCATCAACTTGACCGCAGGGAGTTTGGTGTAGGTTTTGGAGAGGAGCGAGGCGCTGCCGAGGAGGATCTGCTGACACGATGCAGGTTCCTGGTGGAGAGAAGGAGGCTCTGAGGTTCCCGTTTCCTCCTGTAAGAAGAAAAGACACTCTGTTGCTTTCCTGAGGGCCAGCTCTACCTTAGCCTGCGGGGTAGTGGGATGGAGAAGGAGAAGGAGGAGGGTCCCTGTCGATCAGCAAAGCTTTCACGGGATTCCCGGATGTCCTGCAACTGTCAGTCCGCTGGGAGGGACGGACTCTAAACCAGCGGTTCTCAACCTGTGGGTTGAGACCCTTTCACAGGGGACGCCTAAGACCATCGGAAACACATATTTCTGATGGTCTTGGAACCGAGACACTGCTCCTCTATCCGTCTCCAGGCGGGTCCGCCCACATGCAGATACGCCCACATATGAGTACTGGTGTGGACTGTTACCCACGCTACACCATGCTTCCAGACAAAATTTAATTGATTTGCCATTAGAAAGAAATATTTCACAACATATAATGACACATTGTTTTTGTGATGGATCACTATGCTTTAATGATGTTCATTTTGTAACAATGAAAATACATCCTGCCTATTAGTTACATGATGATTCATAACAGTAGCAAAATGACAGTTATGAAGTAGCAGCGAAAATAACTATGGTTGGGAGTCACCACCACGTGAGGAACTGTATGAAAGGGTCGAGGAGATTAGGAAGGTTGAGAACCACTGCTCTAAACAGATTGTTTATTGTAAGTTACTGCTAGTGCACAAAGGGCTTTGACTTCGAGTGGCTAGGGTGCTTGCAAAGGCGTGGGAGGCAGGCGGCGGGCGGGGACAGAGAACCTCCCTGGAGCTGGGGATCAGGGCCGGCTTCTCTGGCCTTGTGGTGTGTTACTGAGGAGTTAGGAGCATGGCAGAACCAGGGGAGGAGGTTTGCAGATAGGGAGATTAGCCAGGAGAGCGTGGCCAAGTTCTGGGGCGGCGCAGAGAAGTGGAGCAAGCAGTGAAGCCAGGGCCTTGGGGAGGAGGGGGTCAGAGGCAGGCCGGGAGTCTGTGAGCTCCGTGGAGTGGGGGAGTCTGGGATTGATCCTGAATGCCGCCCTAAGCCTTGGCTGAGTTCCAAGAGAGAAGTGATTCCCCAGCGTTGCATTTTAATAAGATCTCAGTGGAGCTTGTGGGGCTGCTGGGGTCAGCCAGGAGGGAGGCTGTGGACCCCTAATCTGCCCCTTGCCTCCTCTCAACCCCACAGCCACCCAGGGCGAGCTGCCCGTCCCACCCCCTCAGTATCTCAGTAATGTACAGGTGCCTTGTAGGAGCCCTGATGGGGTTGTGGTTATGCTCTGGGTTGTGATCTGCGGGTTCTGAAGTTCGAAACCAGCAGCTCCTCGGGAGAAAGACTGGGCTTTCTCTTCGGTACACAGTCAGGGGGTCGTTCTGAGTCAGCACGGACTCCCCATGGTGGAGAGACAGGGGGAGAGGCACGCAGTGAGTGGCAGTCACCTAATCTGGTGTCAATTTGAGGATTAAGAATGTAGGGGTGGAGTCTAGGCTGTCAATCTGGAGATAGCCAATGAGACTTCTGTGTGGGCATGGCCTTCTGAGAATTCTGGGAAATCTGGTACTTCCTCCTTGGAGGCAGAAGACTCTCTCTGCTACTCCCTGGGAGACATTGCAGAAGACAAGCCACATGGATACAACCAGACCTCGGAAGCCGGAGAAGCCACAGAGACCCCTGCCAGCACTGAGATGTTTCCAGTGCCACTGGACCCAAAGACTTTCTACCCACTGGCTTGTGATCGTCCTGCACTTCGCTTCATTGCATGTGTTTCGTGAGTCTGAAGAGGACTTTATAGATTGGTATCAGCCATATGGGCTAATATCAGACTTATGGCCTTCAACTAGACTGGGTTGGGATGTTTTCTCAATGTTCAATTCCTCTTGTATATAAATCTCTTTCTTATACACATATGCGTGTTTATGAATTTGTTTCTCTAGTCCATCCAGGCTAACACATGGTGACACACTGGGGCCAAGGGCGCAACTCAACCCCGAAGGCCAACGGTTCAAACTCACCCGCTAGCTGCTCCATGGACCACCACTGAGCCAGCTGCATCAGTGGCAATGAAGGCAGGGACTGGCAGTGGGAGAGGAGCAGAAGCACACGTGGATTGATCTCTTCCACGGTGACTGGGCCGATCACTCCTAGAAAAACGCCTAAAGCCCGGAGGGTAGTACAATACACACCGATAAAGTGAACTGTCGCACGACCATGGCTCGGACCCAGAACAGAATACTGCCGGGTCCTACCATCTTCCGTGTGTCCTCTCTCCCCTACAGGTAACCCCTAGCCTGACTTTTAGGACAATCCCTCTGGTTGAGTTCTCTGAATTCGTCTCTTCTGCCATGTAGGCAGTGGGCTCGAGGCTGCTGGGTTGTAAAGAGGGTAGGCAGAGGAGCGGAGGGGCTCTCCATCCTCCACCCCTCTCCCCATGCCCCAGAGGGATGGAGGATGGAGGTTGGGTTGGTGGAAGGCTTCCTGCAGGGGGGCCTGACTGGGCTGACACAGTCCAGGCTCAGGAGACCAGACTAGTTGGCCCAGGAGCCTCGGTAGTGTACTGTGTCATGCTTTGAGCTGCTAACCTGAGGTCAGCCGTTTGAAACCAGCAGCCATTCCTTGGAAGAACGATGAGGTTTTCTCCTCCTCCGAGGAGTTACAGCCGTGGAGACCCACAGGGGCATTTCTCCTGAGTCAGAATTGACGTGATGGCACTGAGAAGGGTGATGCCAATGCCTAAAGAGCCCGGGTGGCATAGCGGGTTACACATTAGGCTGCTAACTGCAAGGCCGGCAGTTTGAACACACCAATCACTCCTTGGCAGAAAGATGAGGCTTTCTGGTCTCGTAAGCATTTCCAGTGGGGGGGCTGTTCCATTCTATCCAATAGCGTTGTCATGAGTCAGCATTGACTCGATGGCAGGGAGTTTAGCTTGGGCTTGGATGCCAATGACACTTTGTCAACACTTCCAGAAATGCTGGGCTCTTGGGTCCCCCTCTCTGCCCCAGAGAGGGCTCACAAATTCCCGGAGAGGGAAGGGGAAGTAAACAAACAGCAAAAGAACCCCAACCCCACCGTCACCGAGCCTGTCTATACTGATCAAACAGAGGCTTTCGGAGCTTGTAACCTGTATGGAAGCAAACTGGCACATCTCTCACCAGCGGGACAGCAGATGGGTTCGGACTGCTTCCCTTGTGGCTAGCAGCTGAGTGCTTAACCGCTGGGACACCAGGAATCCTAGGAAAGGGAGGTCTTACTGCCATTGAGTTGACTGCCACTCCTAGCGACCCTATGGGACGGGGAGGACCTGCCCCTGTGGGTTTCTGAGACTAACTCTTTCTGAGAGTAGAAAGTATCATCTTTCTCCCGAGGAGCATGGTCCAGGATGTAACTGCTATCACTATCAGAGCTCCTGAAAGGGTGGTAGGCCAAGTCAGTTTTCACATCTCACCAATAAAGTAGAAATCCCAAACCCAAACTCACTGCCATTGAGTGGAGGCTGACTCTTCGTGACCCTATCAGACAGTAGAACTGCACCTGTGGGCTTCTGAACCTGTAACTCTTTACGGGAGTAGAAAGCCCAGTCTTTCTCCCATGAAGCCGCTGGTGGTTTCAAACTGCCGACCTTTCGGACTGCAGTCCAGCTTGGAACGACTGTGTCACCGGGAGAGCAAAGCAGAGGGGCAGTGAAAACGAGGAAGACCATGAACAAGGTGGGTCAGCACTGTGGCTACCACAACGCAGCCAAACATAATGATGGTGAGGATGTTTGGGGAGTGCTTTGCTCTATTGTACATCGGGTCTCTGTGAGTCGGAACGGACACCGGTGCCACCGGGAACGGATCTGCAGAGGGTGGGAACACGTCAAGGCCTAGGGTTAGTATTGAGAGGGGAGGCCAGGCCTTTGCACTCAGGTCTGTCTGCCTCCTAGGCCAGTGGTCTTGCTTCACCCCCACAGCAGGGACCTGGGCCCCTTCACTGGCTGGAGGGGAATGGGTGGTTTCTGTGGGGCCCAGAATTCTCAGGACCCTGGGGGAGCAGAAGCATAAGAACTCATGGTCACCACGGGGTGGCGCCAAACACCAGGTTTTCACCCTGCTGGTTACCCTGAAGGTCTTGAACTCTGGGTCTGATCCTTGGCGGAAGGAGCCTTGGTGGCGCAGTGGTTAAGTGCTCGCCCATAAACCAACATTCGAGAGGTTCGAATCCAGCAGCTGCTCTGTGGGGAAATCCTGTGGCTGTCTGGCTCCATGTTATGGGCCAGGTGGCCTCAAAGGCAAATGGGTTTGTTTGGGGCTTGGGGTTTGGGGCTCCAGGGCCCAGAACTAAGGCCTGTACAAAGGGGAGGGGATAGCTCCACTGTGCCAGCCAGACTCTGTAGGGGAGGTGTGAGTGAGGCTGGTGGTGGTGGTGGGGGGGTTCCCCTACCCTCCTTTCTTGTTATGTCTAGGACCACCCACACCTGGAACCTGCTCCTCTCCCTCAGCCACAGTAAGGGAGAAAGAGGAAGGAGGGCAAGGGAAGAGAGGCAGGGAACTCCTAGGGCCCAAACAGACAAGAGTCTGGGGCCCCCGGGCAGCTATGGGTCCAGGGGCAAAGGGCCCTGCCCCCCTTTCTCTCTCCTGGCGGCTCCAGATCCCTCCCTGTGGATTGGGCTCTCCCCTCACTCCTTGAAGGAAGCCCTGTGACCTTCCTTCAGGGAGTGGGACAAGAGTCCCAGCCTGAGGCTCTCCCATCCTGCAGTGCAGAAGACCAAAGGCTAGGCTGCCCAGAATGGCCCGAGGTTCAGTCCTGGCCACCTCGCAGAGCCACCCCCACAGTTGAACCACCCACCCGATCCCACCCCACCACACCATACAGCTGACCTAGAAGACAAATCCCCCCGGTGTCAGCCGGCCTGAGCCTGCAGGGAGATAATCCCTGCTGGACTGGACGCGGTCTGCTCCCTGCTCCGTCCACAGCCATGGATGCCACGCTGCTCCTGAACGTGGAGGGGGTAAAGAAGACCGTTCTGCACGGGGGCACGGGCGACCTCCCCCACCTCATCACCGGGTCCCGGGTAAGTAGGGGGCAGAGTCAGGGCCCTTCAGGACCACATGGTGGCCCCCTGCAGTCTGACCCATCCATGCTGTGGGCACCACCAACAGCCTCTCTCCAAACACCAGCTGGGTAGGCCCTTTCTGGCGTGTTCCAAGCTGGGCAATGGGGAGCTCTGGGTTGGTGCTCACTCACGGTCATTTCTTGGTACTTTTCAGATTAAACTTAAATGGGAAGGAGGGAGGGAGGGATCCCTGTGGTGCAGTGGATGAAGCTCCGGGCTGCTCCCCACAGGGTTGGGGGTTCAAACCCACCAGCTGTTCTGCAGGAGAAAGGAGACTGTCATAAAACTTGGCATAGAGTCCTGGACACCCTAAGGAGCAGTTCTACCCTGTCCTATGGGGTCACTCTGAGTCAGAATCAGCCCCTCAGCAGTGGGTTTCAGTGGATTTGGGCAGGGAAAGGGCGAGGGGCCTCTGGGAATTTTCAAGAGAAGGCAGGTGTGTGTCCCTAGTCTCTGCGGGCTCCCCTGGACCACTGGTGTGCTCAGGGGAGGAGGTGCTGATGCCCAAGGTTGCCGACGGGGCCAGTGGGGTCTTTCGGTGGCAGTGGGCTCCTTGTGGGCTGGGAGAGTCCAAGCATGTGGGGAGCTGAGCCCTGGGGTCAACCCCGGGAGCCTGCAGCATGGGGGTGGCTGGTGAGTATGTCTAGAGCAGTGTCCCCTGCTTCTGGTGCCCAGGTGACCTTTCACTTCCGAACCACAAAGTGCGACCCTGAGCAGACGGTGATTGACGACAGCAGGCAGGTGGGCCAGCCCATGCACATCGTCATCGGGAACATGTTCAAGTTGGAGGTCTGGGAGATCCTGCTGAAGTCCATGCGGCTCAGGGAGGTGGCCGAGTTCTGGTGCGACACCATCGTAAGTAGATGCCGCCACCCCCCCACCTCCCCACCAGCCCCCGTAGCCGCCCTCTAGGGCTCTCAGTGTCAGGATGCAACAAATGGTTCATCTCCAAGATGAACCAGGGCTGCACTCTCCCATGAGGAGGGACTCCCTAGGAAGAGGAGCCCCTTAAAGTGACCACCAGCACTGTGGTTCAGGGGTAGATGGCTCGCCTTTCACAAGGGAGACCCAGGTTCAACTCCCGGACAACCCACTTCATGTGCAGCCGCCACACCTCTGTCCGGTGGTTTGCATGCTGCCGTGAAGTGGAACAGGTGTCAGCAGAACTTCCAGACTGAGAGCAGGAAGAGAGACCTGCCAATCAACTCCCCCAACGAAAAGCCAATAGAAACCTATAGGTCACAGAACCCCCTTCCTCAGCTGCTCATGGGACGGCACAGGACCAGGTAGTGTTTTGTTGCCTTGTGCGTGGGGTCATTGAATGTGTGTGTGCACCTCTACAGTGGCCAATGATAACAACAACAACAGCAGCAACAACAACAACAACAACAACAACAACAACATTGGATCCTGGGGATTTGGGCCATTGGTTACTTTTCCACCCTCCTCCCCAACCCCACCTTATCAATCAACCTTATAGTTAAGGCTCCTGGCTCTGTCGCCCAGATAGAAACAGTAGCATCCACTGACCTTTAAAGATTTTATGACGGGAGGTTTCAGACACATATTAAAGGAGACAGAACAGCACTCGCGATGTGACTCTGGTCTCTCCGGCACTATTTCCTGCCCCTAGACACAGATAAAGCTCTGTATTAAGAGGCTCATCTGGCCATGGCATGACAGGGTGCATTTGAGGACAGATCATACAGGCCAAATGAAAAGTGGGAGCTATTATTTTGAGCTAGAAGAACTGTTGAGACCAACTCCCTTCTTTAATGAATGAAACAACTAAAGGCTCAGAGAGGGAAAGTAACTTGCACTAATCTAACGAGTTGAGAGACAAAATCGATCTGGTGTGTGTGTGTGTATCTCTGGCCCCCTAACTCCTTATCCAGCACGTGTTTTGCCTTTACAATGTCTCAGAGAGTCCAGAGGAGCCCTGGTGGCATAACGGTTACTGTAGGGCTGCTCACTGCAAAGTCAGCAGTTTGAAACCACCAGCAGCTCCCCTGGGGAAAGATGGGGCTTTCTACTCCCCTAAGAGTCAAGTGTGGGAAATGTACAGGGGCAGTTCTGCCCTGTCACAGAGGGCTGCTATGAAATGATATCGATTCGACGGCAGTGAGTTTAATGGTCAGGTTTCAATACCAGGTCCCATCCAACGTGTGCTGTGCACGTAGCAAATCCTGGGTGAATGCGTTTTCTTTATACCAGTGTTCTTTATATGTTCTTTGTATGTGCTTTCATATGGCATCCCCATTGGCTTTGCACACAGTGAGCGGCTCCCGTGCTTGTTAGCCCTGCCAGGAAGGGGTGCCGTGCAGTTGACTCCCCTCACTGTGACCCGTGTAGGACAGCTCGGAACTGCGCTCTCTGGGGTTTACAGTGGCTGACGGACATGCAAATGAACCTGCCAGTTAGGCCACACGGTAGACATAGCTTGGCTGCCAACCAGTCCCCCCCCCCCCCGCCATAGGACGCCCATTTTCCAACAGAGGAGAACAGAGAGTGTCAATAACTTCTTGATTGGCTGATTGATTTGTTGTCTGTAAAACCACAAACTGCCATGGCTCCTATGCTGTGCAAGAGCCTCCTTCTTTCTTCCTCTGTGATCTTTGGGCCACATCCGTGTGAACAGGAGCACTGCCCGCCTCATAAGCTAGTAGCTTTTAGGCCACGAGAGCACATGCTTTTCCCCAAAGCCCTTACATGACTTCCCAGCTCACAGTCCATGTGGTTGCATACACACACACACACACACACACACACCCCTTCCAGTGTCATTAACCCACCTATACATCCATGCATCTGTATTCCACCTATCTATCCACCCTCCCTTCTTTCATTGTCCTATCTTCTGTCTCCATGCATCCTCCATCTATCCATGCACCTGTGCATCCATGCATGCATGCATCCATTCATGGATCCATCCATCCATCCATCATTAATCCATCATGCATCCGTGCATCCACACACCCACGCACCCATCCATTTATCCATCCATCCATCCATCCATCCATCCATCCATCCATCCATCCATGTATCCATTTAGTTGGGAAACATTCACTGGGGCCTGATTAGGCCTGTGCGGAGGGTTGGCAGTGAAACAGGCAGAGACCCCACCCTTGGGAACTAAGACATTGGAGGAGCTTCAGACAGTTGAACAACGACAAACAGGGCCATCAGCATCACAAGTGAGGGGCAGGCACTGTGGGGCCACCAAACAGGACCAACCAATTATGTGGGGCTATTAGGGGTCATTGGGGTCTTATTTAAGAAGATGACAGGAGCTGATACCATGGGCTCCAGTAGAAAGAAAATGTTTTGGAAATGTTGATGGCAACGTATGTACAGGGGTACTTAATACAATCGAATGATGGATTGTCATAAGATTTGAAAGAGCCCCGAATAATATGATTAATAACAATAATAATAATAAAAGATGACATCGAACTGGGTTTTGAAGGATGAATAAGAGTTCACCAGGCCAAGAAGTGGGGGAAGGGACTGGCCTCTCCACAGAGGAGATTCCATTTGTGAAACTCAGGACGTGGAAAGGCTTGCTTGGCACATTTACTTTCGTTAGACTGTTCTCCTCTGTGGACATCGCTCCATTCAAGAAGCCACGTTTTGGGGAGATTAAGCACCGTAGGTTTAGGCGTTGGGCTGCTGACTGCAGGGTTTGTGGTTCCCACCCACCAGTTGCTCCTTGGGAGAACGGGGACGCAGTCTGCTCTCAGGAGACTGGCAGTCTTGGAAAGCTGCTGTGAGCTGGAGAGGCCTCCTCCATGGCTGTGGGGAAGCCATTGCAGAGACAATCACCTCTCTTGGGCACAGGACTTAGGAGGGCCACTCTAAGGTACGACACCTTCCGCGGCCATTACCACCTTCCCCAGCTGAGCGCTCTGTTTCCTGGACAGTCCTCATGGCTTGGCCTTGAGGATCCTTCAGGTCTCTGCAGGGACAGGGGACCAGGGGTAGAGTCAGCCAGGAGGACTGGGTGTTCTTTCCCTGAAATGGGTTCCTCCTTGACCCCCCCAGACTGCTCTCTCCATGGGATGTTTGCAGGCATGCAGGCAGGAGTTGCGAACTTTGGTAAACTGGTGGCCCGCAGACCCCTGCCCCAGCCAGGTGGGGGTGGCTGCTACAGAGCTCCCACAGGTGGCTGCCACGGAAGAGGCAGATCTTCTGAGCTGCTGAGAGGAGCCAGCCATCTGCACTGGCCTGTGAACTTGCCCCGGGGCCAAGTGTTGGTAACAAGTGAAAAAACACATATAAGCATACAGCCTTGATGCTGGAGTTGATGCTGGCTTCCAGTGAGTGGGTTCGCCACTGCCAGTCTGTGCTGTCCCTCGGACAGACTGGCCTCTGCCTTAGGGCCCCACAGTGACAACGATCCTGGGGTTCCTGACCTCAGTCACAACTCTATAGGCTGAGTGATGCCTAAGGGCTGGAGGCCTGCTGCACAGAGGGCCCTGGGTGACTGTGAGGGTCCCTGGTCTGCAGGCCCAGCCCTGTGCAGCCCTCCAACCACGAGGCACAGGTGTGAGGCCATGGAGCTCAGCTTCCTGGCTTAGTCCTCCTTCCCGAGTTTCTCACCCCTCCTGGTGGCTTCCCAGGGTCCACTCTGTTCTGATGGCAGGGTGGGGCTGGGCCTAGATGGTGGGTAGGGTTTTTGTCACGGTGTGACGGGGTTGGGAGGCAGAGCCACCGACAGTCATCCTTGCAAATGCCTGGCCCTGAGCCTGCAGCTCACCATTGATGTGGTGGGGGGCTGGGGTGTGAAGGCTTTGGGGACTCAGAACCCAGCCGCTGAGCCAGGGGCAGAGCGGGCTAATCCCCCGCTTAGTCCAGCCTTATCTCACCCACCTGCCATCTGCTCCTCTCTTCCACAAAGAAGCAAAGAAGGGGCAGCCCTGGCTAAGCCTGATGGGGAGTGATGAGGAGGGAGGTGAGAGGGATGGGGGGCAGAGAGGAAGGGACTGTCTTGGACACCCCTCCCCACAGCCCTTTGTGCCCTTCACTTTTCCCTTCTGTGTGGGAGGGAGCCTAAGGAAGGCAGGTGGGCAACCATGCCCAGGGAGAGGGGTTCTCAGAGCCCCGGGGCAGTTGAGGTCCACAGGGTGCAGGCCCCCCAGCTGCTGTTCCCAGTCCTCCTGCACTGAGGGAGCCCCAGTGCCCAGTGGCTGGGTGAGGCTGGGCCAGCCAGACCTGCATCTGCACTGGCTCCTAGAATCCCCATAGTAGCCCCGCGACATGGCAGGTGCAGCGGAGGGCGCCGGGGCCCCAGGCTCGGCAGAGGCTCTGCCAGGATGCCAGGCTGGCCTCTGGGACCCGAGTCCTCCTCGATCCAAGGCTCCACACTGTCCTCCCCGGGAGGCATCAGCTCCACACAGTCCCGCCTCCTCGCCTGCCACCATGAAAGCTATCCCGGCTCATAGCAACCCTGGAGCGCCCAGTAGAACTGCTCCTTAGGATTTCAGAGCCTGTGAATCTTGACAGGCACAGACAGCCTCGCCTTTCTCCTGAGGGGCCAGCTGGTGGGTTTGAACCCCTGCCCTTTGCGGTTAGCAACCCAACCCTTAACCTGCTATGCCACGAGGCCCCTTCAGTCTCCTTAGGTGATGTGTTAGAGTTGGTCCCAAGGGCCACAGCGGAGAGAAAGAGTCATTGTGGCTGAGGGCATGGCTCTGGGGCCAGGTGTGAATCCCGGCTCTGCTGTTCCCCAGCTCTGTGACCTTGAGCAAGCTACTTAACCTCTCCGGTGTGCAGCATCCTCATCTGTACAGCGGGATCATCGTCTCGCCTCCCTTGCTGACTGTTGTGAGGATGGACCGCTTTTCACTCACGGCACCCCTAGCGCCCCCTATAGGACAGGAGGGAGCTGCCCCTGTGGGTTTCTGACACTCTTTTAAAACAAAGGTTTTATTGGCATATTCTTCTAGCGCCCCCTATAGGACAGGAGGGAGCTGCCCCTGTGGGTTTCTGACACTCTTTTTAAACAAAGGTTTTATTGGCATATTCTTCTAGCGCCCCCTATAGGACAGGAGGGAGCTGCCCCTGTGGGTTTCTGACACTCTTTTTAAAAAAAGGTTTTATTGGCATATTCTCCCTGGATTATACAATTTAATCGTTCAAAAATATTAAGGAGATTTATGCAGTCATCACCACAATCAATTTCAGAACATTTTGTTCTTATACTCACTGTTGTTAGCTCCCCATTTCCCTCCACCCTCCCCTGCCACGCCCCTCGGTGATTATCAGTCCAGTTACTGTCTCCATAGATCTACTTATCCTGCATCTCCGATACAGAAAATCATAACAACTACAAACAGGAAGCAAACAAACCCAGAAAGGTCAAAGAAAACCTAGAAAAATGCCAATCCAAAAGAAAGCAGAAAACATTAAAAACGGAAGCAACTTTAAAATGGGTCAAAAGGGAAATCAAATGATAAAGTATTCTGCTTTAAGCTAACTACGTCTGCCATCATCAACTTTACAATGCTCTCTGCCTGATAGCAGGGCTATTCACCTGCCTGCACTGCGTTCAGAGGCGATTCAACGGAGGCTTAATCCATGTGGAGACTCTGCAGATGGTTTTTGACTTCCACTGCCTTCTCTGCAGGGGGACTTTTATAGGATATCTGTAATTTCACTGCGGGTGGGGAGGGAGCAACCACGGGTCCAACACACTCTGAGACTAAATCTCTGTGGAAGCAGAGAGCCCCATCTTTCTTCAGTTGGTGGCTAGTGGATTTGAACTGTTGACCTTGTGGTTAGCAGCCCAGCATGTAATCACTATGCCAACGGGACTCCTCCTCTTTGGGACACAGGGTGTTTCTTAGTGTGGGCCGATCGGGGCTCTAGGGAGACACAGTCATGGGGCAGGAGTGGTAGGGTGTCGGGAGTCCTGCTGCAGGAGGCTGGGTGGGGTTCAGAGAGAACCCTTGGTTGGCCAGGCAGCTCTGAGCAGGCAGCACAGAGCCATCTCTTGGTCTCTGCCCATAGCACACCGGTGTCTACCCCATCTTGTCCCGGAGCCTGCGGCAGCTGGCCGAGGGCAAGGACCCCACGGAGTGGCACGTGCACACATGCGGGCTGGCCAACATGTTCGCCTACCACACGCTGGGCTACGAGGACCTGGATGAGCTGCAGAAGGAGCCACAGCCTCTCACCTTCCAGATTGAGCTGCTGAAGGTGAGGTCCCGGCACATGGGGGGGGGTGGAGGGTGGGGCCCGAGGGGCTAGCTGGGGCCTGGGTAGCTGCCTCCTGGGGAGCCCCTTGGCCTCTGCAGCTCCTAGACATCGCCTGGCCCCTCCTCAGAAAAGACACCGCCAGCAAGAGAATGGGGACCTGCCAACAGCCCCGCCAGGCAAAATTCTCTTTGGGGCCAAGCGAAAAGAATGAAGATTCATTCTCATTTCGAAGGCCTTTCTCTACTGCAAATTTTGGTTTCCTAAAGTTTGGAATTACAGCCTAAATCCTGGTTGGTGGGTTCGGATTAGGCTCTCCAGTCGTGGGAGGGGCTGCCTGGCACCCTCCACACCCTCTTACTCAGATCCCCAGAGGCTGAAGGGACAGATCTGACGGGAGGGGGTAGAGGGGCGTTGGGGCAGGGTCATGTCCTGATGAAACTTCAACTCCCAGCCGAGTCTGAGGCTTCCCCCGAGGGCTACCTGGGCGAACGCACACCGAGGAGTCAGGGCAGGAGACCCTGGTTGGCAAAGAGCCTGTTGGGGAGGCATGGGCAGCTGTGTAGTCTGTGCACTGCACCAGGGCCTCACCCATGCACATGTCTTGTTGGGTTGGGCGCCATAGAGGCAGTGTTCCCTGGAACACCACCCATTCTTGAATGTGTGCCACCTCTTGAAATGGCTGAACTCCCACCAGAGCTTGTGGGTGTAGCGTCTAAAGAAGGCGGAAGGAAGACGCAGTCGCTGCACCCACAAGTTCTGGTGGGGGTTCAACCATTTCAAGAGGTGGCACACGTCTCTCTTTCTCCCCTCCCCCTCCCCTAATCCTCCTGGTATCTCTACTCTCCTTGTTGGCCCTGAGGGGTTTATCTATCCTGGATTCCCTGTGTTGTGGGCTCTTGTCTGTAGCAGTGTGCATGTTCTGGTCCAATCCTATTTTTTGTGTGTGTGCACTGTTCCTGGAAGTACTGCAATACCAGGTTGATGCGCGGAGTGGACGGAGCAAGGTCCTATTCCAACTCCCTGCTACAAAATCCACCTAATATATTGTCCTCGGATAGAGGACGTATCAGACATCAAACTGATAAGAACAGATACTACACTTGATCTTAGCCAAGAGGCCAAAAAGCGATGGTCTAATCCTATTTGTAAGGTAGAATTGAGGTCATGATAGTGGGGGAAGGAAGCAACATAGAACTAGAGACTTTATTGGGGCTCTTACCGCTCTTATAACAGTCCACACATCAATTGTAACAAGCGTATTTGTACATATATTGCCATCATCATGTTCTAAACATTTACTTTCTATTTGAGTCCTTGGTAGCAGCTCCTCTTTTTTTCCCTCCATTCCCTCCTCCCGCCCTCTTGGCCCCTTGATAAACTATACATTATTATTATTTTCATATCTTACACCGACAGCTGTCTCCCTTCCCCCATGGTTTCTGTTGTTCCTCCCCCTAGGGGTGTGTGTGGTTATGTGCCGATCATTGTGATCGGTTTCCTCCCCTCCCCTCCCCACCTTCCCCCTACCCTCGTTTATCGCGGTTAATCAGTTCTAGATCCTACCGTGATAAATGAAATTCCACGAAGTAGGATTCCTTATTTGTAAATCAAATATTTTCTTAGTTAGAGCATAGAGGACATGAAAAAACACCCTTTAGTCACCATTACACTCATATTACCCAATTTATTAAACGAAAAAGGGAAAATACAGTAAAACATTTTGGACGTTACAATTATCATTTATTATTTATTATATTATTTATGGCATCTAGTTTACAGTATTACATATTTCACATACAGTATTATTATACATAGTTCTTACAAATACTGTAATCAATAGCCTATGAAATGACTTAAGGGAGGTACTCTACAGGTGGGTCGCCGTCTTTTTCCTCTGAAGGAGCGGGTGTAGGCAGTGGGTGCTGTTACGCAAAAACCGCGATAGAGTGAAGCCGCGGAAGTCGAAGCGCGAAGTGGCGAGGGTTCACTGTACTCCCATTTCTGTTCCTGAGGGGTTTATCTGACCTGGATTCCGTGTGTCATGAGTGCTGATCTGTACCAGTGGACATGCTCCGGTCTAGCCTGAAGTGAAAGGCAGGACTGGGGTCACGGTAGTGGGGGGTGAGGAGGCCTTGAGGAACCAGAGGAATATGACGGTTCATGTTCAATCCTGTTAAGAAGTTTGTGCCATCACCACCCCAATCAATTTCAGAACATTTTCTTCTCCTGCTCATTGTTGTCAGGTCCCTATTTCCTGCCCCCCCTCCCCTACCATGTCCTTAGGTAGGGATCTTTCTTGTCCTTTTAATGACCTTCAGGCTGTCTTCATCTCCAATATCCTTGGCGCTGTCACAACTTGTCTGGCCTTCTATAATTCTTTGTGTTCCATGCATCCAATCTCTTCTTGGGATGGTCTTTTAATTCACGGCTCTTAATGGTCTTTAATATGCTCAAGGCTGCACGTTGGCACTCATGAACTTGTTTGAGTTTTCTTAGACTTCAACTTGAACTTGCACATTGAGGGTCTCTTCTGGTGTCGGTCCCTGGTCTGGTTCAGATGGAAGATACAGAGCTTCCCCATGGCCTAGTCCCACAGAGGTGGTGGACTGGATTCCTGGGTACCCCATCTGGTGAGGTCCATGTGTATTGCTGCCATTTATGTTGCTAGAAAAAACCCCAACATTTGCAGTGGAGATCATTGGTCCTTTAATGTTTCGGAGTTCTTTCTAGCATCAAGGCCGTAGTTCCCCTGCTGATCAGACTTTTTCTTGGTTTCCAACGTTCACAGTCCAGCTGGCAATAAGTACAGAGGCATCCTGGTTGTTCGAATGGTCAATTCCAGACAGCAGAGGTTGGTAAAAATCTTTACTGTCTT